GGACCACACCACCCTCCCACAGGCATCAGTCACACCTCATGAGCTGTGTAGCTAAATTTTGGGTGCATAAAGAGAAAATTATTTTTTTTTACTCTTTCATTCAAGACTATGCTTTTTCACTTGCTTCATAGCTGCAAAATTCACAGAGACCCTACTAACTTCCGGAATTTGTAGAATTTGTTTCAGTTGAGCTTTGTTAACTACAAAGCTTGTATAGCACAGAATAGGGAAAAATGCAAGAAATGCATATACTTTAAACTGTTCCACATGGAAGAAAACCCACCTTAAGGAATGAAGCTGGAGAGAGAGCTCCGCATAATTCCACAAACACTGCTTAGTGTACAAGTGTGGTCAGCAATGTGCAGAAGTTATAAGGATGCACAAGGATAGCACACATGAAGCAAACCTCACCACTGCTCCCTCAGCCCCCCCTCCCCCCCACCCTCCAAACTTTCCCAATTGCAGTCATTATATAAAAAAGCAGGCTTCAGAAAAAGTAAATAGGAAACATTTAAGGTACAGGAAAAAACTCTCCTGTGGTGAGATATGAAAAAGTAGACATTTCCTGTAACAAGCTGAAAAATAAGAGGGGAAATGCTATACTATATAAAATAATACCACGGTAGGATACTATGAGTCTGTATTACTGTAAAAGATGTGGCTAAAACTCAAAACTGATTTAAAAGTAACTTCTTTTGTCCAACAAAAAACTTTTAGCTGCATTCTAAGAAGGACTATATACATTTACACAAATATAATGCTATTTACTTTAAAAAAACAACACTAATTGCTCAAACTATCTCTGCAAACACAGGGATTATTAAGTACCTACTCAAACCATTGCATAGTCTGCTGCAACCACTAGTGATTGCACCACATCTCTTTCATGCTATTAAGAAGTTAATTCTGAGGACAAAGACATTCCTGAGGTAAGAACCCGAGAACTCTGACCAGAGTTCACATATGAATTTTAAATATATGTAATTATGTAACAATTAGTGCTAACAAAGCTTTAGAAAAATAAAACTCATGAAGTAGAGCACATGCCAGTTAACTACTTTGGAAGACGTACTGAAGGAATTAGCAAATTCTTTAGGTAGCTAACCTTCCCTTAAAAACTGCATACCACACTATACTGATGATATAATCCATTATTATAATTCCTGTGTTCCCTCTGTTTCCAAGAAGAGATCCTTTACACTTGCTACAACACACTGAATTGAGAAAGTAACCCAAATTACAAGAACATTTTCCCCTGTAAATACTACTTCAGAAATATCTTTCAAGGGGGGGATACTATACTGAAAATATCTCTGTTTGTATATGAAGGAGTTCGTATTTACTGTTTTTCAGGAAATTCCGTAAACATGCTAAATTTGAAATTAAATGTATTTATCACTTAGCTTGACAGGTCTGTAGCTCGACCTTGACTTTTGTCAGAAGCTATTATTTCTGCTCTATGCATCACCACTCTAAAGAAGTTCTCAAAATGGATCCTAGTCAAGAGTTCTGCAGAAGATTCAAGAGACAGAAGAAAGCATGAATTACTGCTTCCTTTCTGAACACATTCTGTGGAGCTCTGAGTAGTAGAAAATAAAAACATACTGTTGATAATATATTAACTTCTTTGAAACGAATACAGAGTATATTAAAGAAAAACAGTAAATAAAAGAGTACCACTTCTACAGCTATGCCACAATTCAATATGCATAACAACTGATGAAAAGATTGAATTATTGCAGTAAATAAATTTTCTGCAAGTATCTCTTCACCTCAAGATTTTTCCCCTCTTTCTTTCTGTTGTAAACATTTCTTAATATTTTGCCTTGATTTTCTTCCCAGATTATACTGCACTGGGAGGTAGGGAACATACCAAATCTTCTTTCAAATCCTCCTCATCTTGGCCTAGAATTCCCTTTTTGCTCCATCCAACTGCTGCTGCTGCCAAAGGCATATCCAGCTGCAGTTGCCTAACACCTTTCAGAACTGTAAATACTTCTTGCTACCGAAGAAGTGCTCCGTCCTTCTCATTTTTTTTCTGAAGCATACATAATTGTTACTACTAGCTCAGGGATCCATATATTTAAGGGTGCAGTTTACTATCTGAAGCCATAATGCAAAACAGCAGGTGGTTTAGCTTCTTTTGTCATCAGCTGTGTGATCAGTAGGAACAGACAATCACTCCCTTCTTTTGCTTCTCTGATACCTACGGTAGCTCTCCTCTTCCTCCCTTCACTGTTCCTGCTCACAGTATTATTTCTTGCAGGAGGTTATATTCCTCCCTGTCCTTATGCCATTCATGAGTTTTGATTTCTAGTCTCTCTTCTCCTACTTTAAAAACTTCCATTTAAGGGACAGTATCAATTTCTGCTTTTTTCCAAATCTGCTTTAAACTGACAGCATACAAAAGCCTCTCACTTCCCATTCTTAACTGGCACGCGTATTTTCACATATCTTGCAAGCCTTCAAGGATATTCCAGCATCTAAAATTCAGCGAACTCCAAATGTATGAGTACTGAGTGTATATCTGCAGAAGTCTCAGTAGTAGCCTCCAGTTACCTGGTTTGTTGTGCCCACCTGAAGGTAAGATTGCAAGAGGGCAGAAGCACAAACAAGGATGTACTGTGCTTTGCATACAGTCTGAAGAAAGTGATCCATAAATTACCAGAAAACTTCATTTTTCCTGGAACATACTGTAACATGCATTCGTATGTCTCCCTATGACAAGTAAATGTTTTATGTGTAAACAAAAATCATAAAAGCAAATGAGCTGCGCTATAAAGCATTAAGTTGTGTTGTGCAGTTTATATTCAAGATGCTTTTTTCTGTTTGTTTTTGTAGGTTTAAAGTGACTCAGACCATTGCTGTGAGACTGTTCCTGTATTTATACTTTCTGTGATGTTAAGCAACATCACAGAAAAACTTCTCCAAAAGAGCGTACTGAGGGACATGGTCTGGTGGGAAATGTTGGACTGGATGATCCTGGAGGTCTTTTCCAGCCATGGTGATTCTATGATTCTATGAACATGGAGTTATAAGTTTTCTAAAAGCTGTATCCAATTACAGTCCTGAATGATTTGAATAATAGACTGTCTGACATATTCCAAGATAAGTGACTGCTACATTTCTTCAATATTAGGGTCATATACTGTACTTATCTATTTTTACTCTATGATCTCCATTGCCTGGTAATAAATTAATTTCTCATTGTTGCTTTGGCATGTGCCCTACAGTTAAATTCATTTTCTCTCCAAATGAAGGAAGAAAAAGTTTTCTGAAGTATGACAACTACTCTTATTTTTAGAACAAGTGGCCACAGATTAAATTTAGAATATTATTTTAAAAGGGACATTCCCACATAAAGTCTTAAAAGTTCTTTTTATATTTTCATTTTTGGAAAGGTACCTGATGGTGCAAAACAACATGACTCTAACTACATAACTACTTGCATGTAAGACTTTTTATACTGTATGGCTATCATTTGAAAGCACAGCTTTTAATCTTAGTGTTTAATTTTTCTTGTTTCCTAGAGCACAAAACACTTCAAAGGACCTCATGTACATCTGCAAGTATTACCAATGGCAGTGACAGCTGAAAAACAGGAAATCACCATGCAGTAGCAACAACTAGCTCTGATATGACCAGTTGTTTCCAGAGCAGCAAGTATAAGCAGATGTTCTTGATTCCTCACTGGTTATCATGAATTCAGTAACACCAAGAAAAAAACACTTTGCAGATTCAACCCTTTCATACAGAACCTCTTTCTACACTGTGGTGTAACACGTATGACAGTATTTCACATTTTCAGAATGTGTTAGACATGAATGACTATGCATCACACAAAGTGACTGTCTGTCCAGTTTGTTACTGGCCCACCTGGAATTTAACTGCATTCCAATTTTCAGCCTTAGGTAAGCCTGATAGCCACCACATAACCTCTGTCTCATAAGCACATAACATTAAAGCCTGTGAATATAAGACTGAATCATTAGATAAAATATTTTATTTCTTGAGTCAAATAATTTGTTACACATTCTTTACTTGTACAGAAGAGAAATATATATACTTACAGAGAAATATGTAAGTATATAATTGTACAAATGCATTGCTCATAAACCCAACACAAAATACTTTAACAGCAGTTATTAAAGTAGCAGCGTAGGTTCTAGATATCAGCCACATAAGAAACAAGGCTAGGCTAAAAGATACTCGTCCCTATATGGTGCTTTTTTCTGGTCACTCCCACCAACTTTCACAAGGTTAACTATCCTGTGTTGCTGTTCCTTTTTATTAAACTACAAATTTGAATTGAACAAACAAACAAACAAAAAATTAGAATAAAATTAAATAAACAACACCAAGAATGCAAACTACTATTCTTTTCACCAACAAAGGAATGCCCTCCATGATTTGACTAACCTTAATTGTACCTATGGTTTTGAGATTCCCTAATGGAAAGTGCTACAAAGCAGAGCTCACTAACTGTATGAATCATGACAGATACTGATATACCACTGATTGTAAATCCATACGCTTTGTATTTGCACCCACAGCTGTGATTTGCACACTCATGAAAAAATAATTCCAAGTAGCAAAATGTCATACTTGGAGGCATGTACAGCAAACAACCACAGAATTAATAACTATGTGATTTTATATAGCTTATTTTTGACAATGTAGCAAGAAGATGATTTGAAAGATTTGTACAGTTTGTATGCGTAATTTGTAAATATAAATCTTCCCAAGGCAGAAGAAAAAAACAGATTAAAAAAGAAGTTTAAAATCCTCCAAGGCATTCTTCTTAAACAAGCAATATTCATCCATTTCTCCATATTACAGGAAATATTTATTTCAGATCAAAAAGTAGCTGCCAGCCTTGCATGTAAACTAGAATTTCACAGGTGAAAGTATTTCTGAAAAGCAGCTTTGATGACTTCCTCAAAAATATGGTATGTTTAAATTAAGACACCTCCCTCCACTCTTCTTTAAAGGATACTTACATCAATGACTGATGAACCTGATAGACTTAATCCTTCTAGATCTGCTGTTAAACTTGGAGACAAAACAGCTGATGCAGGAACTGCCACAGGAGTTGTTACAGGGTAGACTAGAAGTAAAAAAGCAATTGACACTTAATGTAAAATAAAATAAAATACTGGGAAGGACAATGATCTACTTCCATTAAGTTTAAAAAGTTCATACATCTTGACATAATTATTTTATGTTCATATGTTTCCTAATCATACAAGATTATTTTTTCCAGACATTACAGCAATGGTCAATATAAATATGAAAAAAGAAGTAAAACATATTTTTTACATTCAAGATGTATTTCTTACTCTCTTTTACCTTCTATTTAATCCTTTCATCTGATCTATGCCGTGCAGCACATTTTTATTTATGAGTTATGTGCAAAGTATATATTAATGCAACACTAAAATTTGATGCACATGTAGAAGTAAACCTGAAGAACAGCACTAAAATGCATAGAAAAAAAGTAATAACAGCCCTACACTACCTTTCCACAACTACATTTTAATCTGTTGTTTGAATTGGTTGTTTTTAGTATCTGATTATAGTACTGCATGATGTTGAACAAGACACAGCCATGGGTACTCGAGAAAGGAAGTAAGCTTACTTCAACAGAAGACAAGTCTATACAGAAAATTCTTGAAAGAAATGTTTTACATCCCTATATATTCCAAATTGTTAAACTGTTTCTTAGTTCTACAGTAAACAAAATGATGTATAATCATAATTTTGCATAAGAAAAGTTACTACTCTGGGTAATATTTTTGTAAAGAAACTTTTTTACATACAAAAAATGAACAAATTCAACATTTAATGCATTTAAAATGCCACTGAATCAACAGAATTGAATTCATGAGATAGGAAAAAAATGAAACTTTAATCAAGATACTTACAGTCATCCAAATCTAAGAGAAACACATCTTGTTTATTTGGAGCTTTTCTGTCTTGGACTGTTTTTTCTCCTTTCTGTCAAAATAAATAAATATTTCATCTTTTACTATATCAGCAAAAGAACAGTCCTTAATACTTTTATAGAGGCAATGTGTATATCCATTGCTTAGAGCTTAGCATTTAAAGAATTCACCTTGTGAGAAAGAGTTCTATGTACAGGTAAGCTGAACCCAAATTCCACATTTAAGTTATATTTCACCCATCTGAAGCCCATGTTTAGATTTAATTTTAATAACATCTGCTACTTAAGGAAAATATGCTGACAAATCAGACACTTCTGAGACCACTAGAAACCTTTTTTTAAAAAAAAATCATAAGAAAGTCATATTTGCACTTATTTAGGAGGGAAGAAACCTGTAAATATAGATCGAAATAAAAAAGTAGAATGTCATGTTGCCCCTTCTGGCCTCCATTCAAAGACACCACTTACAAGTTGCTACAGTGTCTTCCAGCACTCAAGATAGATATTTCTATAGATCCCTTCACAAGATAAGCAGATAGAATCACTTTCCTTGAATGTCATCATAGAACAAAATGACCTATCTTGCCAAAAAGTTCAATTTTTCTAGTCTCTCAGCCTCACAGTCAGTTGCAAGCTAATATTATGCCAATATTTTTTTTTTTTTAATTTTTTAATTTTGGGAGAATTTACTTCTCAAGAATACACAAAGAAAGCGGGCTGATGTTCTCACTATTTGAAGCCACTGATGTTAAATACTATCAGGCTTGACATGGGACAAAATGACACTGCTCTTCATTTTCTTCCTATGGAGCAGGCTGCCTGGAGAATATGTGGATGCCCCATCTATGGAGGTATCAAGGTCAGGTTGGAGAGGGCCCTGGGCAGCCTGAGCTGGTGGGTGGCAGACCTGCACATGGAAGGGGCTTGAAACTGCATGGTCTTTAAGGTCCTAATCACTACAGTATTTGAATGTTCTGCTATTGCTAGTTTATTTGATCTGTGACACTTCTCTAGACCAATGAAATCTTACAAAGTATCTTTATTTTTATCTTTCCATTCCTTTTATGTTTTCTCTTAGTGACTCTGCTGCAGAATCAGCATTCCTGAGTGCCAGGTCAGTCACAACCACAAGACTACATTTTTTTTTCTTCCAATGTGATTATTGGCAACTCATCTCGTTACTTCTTTTTTACTTCTGTGAAATAAAGATAAATATTGTACTTCGTAACTCACAGGTGCTATCTGAATTATGTAATTACTTTTACTTGCATATAATTGAGTCATGAATTACTTCATGTCAAAGCAGTCTTAGAAAAATTGAGATACACATACTTTGTTTACTGAAGACTGAAGCTAAGAAAGACATTCTGTGACACTAAGGGCCTTTTAGCTTTATTTTGTTATTTGTTTTACCATCCTGAAGTAGTTTCTAAGTATATATTACAAAGCTCAATATGTAGATTTGTAATATACGTTTCATTTCTGGACTTCTATTACTTTGAATCTACAATGTAATTCATCTTCAGAAATGGAAAGAAATCCACCAAAGATAATTTCTTATCCTTCAAAATAAAATAAAATAAAATGCTCTTAAGATACAAGTACAGAAACATTACATCAAGGTAATGCATGGGAAGAAAAATGCCCACCGCACACATTATCAGAATACTCTACGTAAGTACAATTAGTTTACAATCAGTGGGAAAAAAAAAAAAAAAACCAACAGAAAAAAAAAATACATATGTATGATCATTTGTTTCTTCGTTTTTTTCAAAGAAAATAAAATAGATTGGCTTTCTAGAAATAATGAATAGCCAATGACTGCAACAAATACTATCAACAGATATTTCTAATGAGTGAAAAAAGCTTTGCATTCCGAATCAAGATAATGAAAAGGTTATGACGTGTCTGGCATTTTCCTGTAATAAATTTTATTTTTCTTTTCTTAAAATAAACCTACAATATAACCCAGCTTCCTGCCAGGAGAGCTCACTATGGGAAAAGCAGAATACTAAACAAAGAAGTTAAGCTATATTCCATCAAACATTTCTCCATTTGCAATTCATCTTGGTAATAGAGATAGAACCTGGTAAATGCATATAGGACTTGAAGCAGGAGATTTCTCTTGCTCAATGCATAATTCATGTGCTCCGCCTGCAAAGTGTGTAAAATGAGAATTTCACACCGCAGCATGAGCCATGGAGCTGCAGAGAAAAGGCAGATGAAATCATATTTTGCTGTGTGAATTTTATTTCTTATCCTTCCAATATTTATACAAAACCATCATTGACAATCCAAATGCATTGACAGATCACCCACTGTTTCCATTGTGTTAGCACTTGAAAAGAGATCAGGCAGAAAGATAGACAATTTGTTTTTGTATATTTTTTAAATAGTGGATCAGGTTTTTAACAGCTGAGTGACTGTATTATACTTGTATAAGGAGGTCAACAGTAGCTGATTTAAAAATCCCAATGCAGAGACACCTACTTACACATGCATCCTCAAATCTGGCTTTCTACTGTAGAAATGCTTAGATCATATTATACACCTGAACATCTTCAACTATGCATATTTCAAAATTATATAAAACACTGCAGCATAAGAGACGGATTTTTCTATTCGCCGCAGCTCAATTACGGTGAATACAACAGCTTTTACAAAATTATTCTTCAAGAAAAAAGAAAAAAAAAAGAACACAAAAATCTTAGTAATGTATTCATGAAGAAAGATCAGAAGTTTGTGTAACCTATTTCTGTACTAGAAAATGAACGGATGCATGCGTAAATTAAGCTCTTGTCTGACCATAATCAAACCTTATTATGAAAACTGTGCTAAACATGGCAATGGTACCCAACAAAATACAGAATGGTAGACAACACTCAGAACATTTGTTAACTAACAGTTCATAATTTGTGGCACACTGAACAACTATAAAAATAGACCCTAGTCATTATTCCTCTCACTAATGTGTTTCTCAGAAAGTATTTTCATTTTTATTTATAAGGATAAGAAAGACCAAAAAATCATCTTCCCATCTACACTGGCCACATTACAAATGTTCCTGTAGCAGAATGATACAAGCAATGTCTTTTCCAATTAAAATCTTCCAGTCGAAGAACATCCCTTTCTGAGGGCCTAACTGAAAAAGTCTGATTCCTGGATGACCTGGGGGCAGGAAGCAGAAAAAATCCAAGTTTTCAATGGAAATAAAATAAATATGAGTAGTTCCTGTAAAAGGTACTTTAATACAAGGGCTCCACATATGACTTTATCTGAAATGTTCTTTACAGCTTGTTAAATTATTGCTTTTCTTTCCAACTTTGAAGGGCTATCAGGGTTATCATCAGTTAGCTACACTTCTGATCACAAGGCTCAAAACAGGTACCTATACAAAAGACAGTTAAGCTAGTCAGTACAGTAGTCACCCTTGATACAAAATACACGTGATTGTCACCTCCACCTCCTTATCCAATTACACTTCTGAATATAACTATCAGAAACATTTGTAGTACAAATGCAAGCACCCAACATTACTTAAACAGTGAAAAAGTCCTCTGTATTCAAGAGCATTCATTTCACTTCAGATTCCCGCCCAATTAATTCACTTTTACTGTTTTCATATACTACTACATTGGCCATGTCAAAGTTTCCAAGTGACAAAGCATTTAAGGAACATTTGGATAGTGAAGTCTATACTACCTTGTCAACTGACTCCTTGTCATCTTTTTTTTTTCATGTATGCAAATCCCATTATGTAATATTTCTGTGACATTTTAAAGCTTTGTAGTTCTTCAGTTCTACATTTTGAGTCTGATCAACTCTTCTATCAGTGGCTTAAAACTTCCTTTGTTCCTAGTACATTTCTTTTTAGGTACATCTTAAGTAAGGCTTTAAGACTACTTCAGCAAATATCCAAATGTTTGACAATTCTCCGCTGACTTCAATAAAACAAATCCAAGCTTCTTAGACATTCTGGTTCTCATATTACACAGTACATTGACTTCACACATTCTCAGCCACTGTTTTAAAATATAAAAAGCTTACTTATGCTGGTAGTCCTCACAAATCCTGCGAAGAAACTATAACAGTTTAAATAACTGTAGTGAAAGTAATCACAAAGGCTGGCCCTGAAGCTCTGAGGAAGAAGGACAATTGCAGCAGAGGGCACACAGTTATCTGAACACAGTTTTGTAGTGACTTCTCACAGTAAAGCTGAGTTCCTGTTATTGTCTGGTGAAAAAAATCTGTGCTTCTATAAGAAGCTGCAAACAGTGTGAATAGATTTAACTCTCGTAATATTTAATTTCCCTGCTACGAGTAAATCTTAGAAGAAGGTATGCTATCCAGTGTCACATTAGGCAGGAAGCATTGATCAAATAACAGAAATACACCTCAATTTCTATGCTATGATCTCCATTAATGTTTTTGCCTTCCTGGTAGATTATGGGAATGAACTGTAAGCTCAGGTTACAACTCAGAGCTTGTAAGTAGATGTATAAAGTTAAAAACCAAAGACCTTTTACATCATAAGATCAAGATTTAGAGAAATGAAGGGCCTTTCTTCCTCAGCTAAAGGAATATACCTAAACAGCCTAATGAAGTTACAGACTTCTCTCTGAACTATTTGAAACACATTTGTCCAATAGCTTCTACAGTTATATCAAATGCAACAGGTAAGTCCTGTTTTGACTACTCAGCAGTCTATACTGAAATCCTGATCATAACGTGCCAGCTTAATTTAAAATGCTTCAGATTGTCACTTAATTTTCAATGCCATACACTTACTAAAATGGAAACTTCTGAGCTACAATTCTAACTGCATTTTTTTTATAATGTGCATAGATAGAAACACAAATAAATTTATGACAACAGAAAAATAACTTTCAGAAATGATTTTACCTTAAACTTAGTATGAAGTTCCTCATATATTTATTTTTTAAATGAAAGGCAGTTAAATAAACAGAATCTACATCATGCAATTAGCTTCAGCTCAGTAACACTTGAATAAAATGAACTTCGAGCCTCTTTATCTTCACAAAGTCAGCAATTAAAACTTAGATAACACGAGCTAAGTTGCAAAAAAAAACTTAGTTAAGAGAATTAGTTGTCTCTGTTGAACACTTTTGTATCTTTACACATTTAAGAATTCAATTAAAAAAAAAGATTTGAAAGGTTGCTACTTCATAAATTTAGCAAAAAAGCTAATGTAACTTGAAATGATGGAACAATTTATATGCTTTATTCCTATCGAACAGGGAGCAATAAAAGTTGATTACTCATTAAGGATACTAATTGTACTAATCTACATATATACCTGTAGTAAATAATTCTACTAGTCTATGTATGTACCTCAAGATAGATGAATTAACATCACTATTCTCAATGTTAATGGGAAATTTTAAAACAAACCTAGGCAGTTCTATTTGAGTGCCTTTACACCCTTAAGAAACTCTCTCAGATCCAGGTCTTGTAGCAATTATGATCCCATTTTAATCTAACAGTCATCCCAAATCAGGCTATTATTTCTGTGCAATCCTCATGTTTTCACCAGTTTAAAAGTAATCTAAAAAAAATTAGGTTCCATTATTCATTATCTATGTGAAGTAAACCAATATACAGTTTTCATTTTACAGTATTTTTACTTGCTTAATCTATGAAACAGTTACTATTGTTTTGGGACTAGTCTTCTCATGAAAGGTCAACAAATAATTATAAAACTTCTGTTTCTTAGACATTTAAAAAATTACTACCCATTTCCATTCCTCAAGAAATACACAGTGTTAAATGCATCCTTTAATATTTTATATATATACACAAATATATGTATGCATATATAAATATTTAACACATCTTACCTTACTAGACGTAGCATTTCTGGACTTTCCAGTATCTGAGTCACTATTAGAGTCTGATTCTGACTTGGAGTTTGAAGAACTCTCATCTGATGAACTAGACTCTGTATCAGAGGAACTGAATGTGCTTCTGGACTTGGAGATTCCCTTTGCTTTTTTTTTAATGTCTCCTGAATCACTAGAGATTAAAATAATTAAATACAAGAAACACACAGAAAACCGCCACAGAAAAACACTTAGGAGTAATAATATCATAAAATGGTTTGAGTTGGAAGATACCTTAAAGATCATCTAGCTCCAACTGCCCTGCCGTGGGTAAGGGCACCTTCCAGTAAACAAGGTTTCCCAAGAACCTCATCTAACCTGGCTGTGAATGCCTCCAGGGATGGAGCATCCACAGGTTCTCTGGGCAACCTGTTCCAGTGTCTTACCATCCTCTGAGTTATAATTTCTTCTAATGTGTAATCTAAATCTCCCTTGTTTTACTTTAAAGCCATGACCTTGTCCTATTGCTACATGACCCGATAAAGTGTCTCTCCCCACCTTTCAGTACTGAAAGGTACAAGGTCTCCCTGGAGCCTTCTATTTTCTGCACCGAACAAGCCCAGCTCCTATAGCCTTTCTTTGTAGGAGAGCTGCTCCAACACTCTGATCATCCTCACAACACTCCTTTGGGCCTGCTCAAGTAGCTCCATGTCTTTTTGAGCTGGAGGCCCCAGAGCTTTTGCTAGGAAGCATCCTACAATCAAGATTTCAAAGATTTATGAAATGAACATGAAATCAGTACTTCCTCATGATAATGAAACTTGGCTACAATGGCAGAAGTAGTAGCTTATTTAAGGGAATACAAAATTATTCTACTACATTACACAATATATCATCACACAAGCAGGGTACTGGTCAAACAAATATACGAACATAAAAAGTATTAAACACATTATCCATATGCATGAAGCTTATGATTTCAGGAAAGTGCAGACACCATTTTAGATCAAATGTTTCTGCCTATTCCACCTGTGATTAAAAGAATCATGATGGATTATAAGATGTTTTTGCAGAGTAAAAATGACTTTGAACATCAAGACATTTATTAGTTTGTTAATCTTTCCGGATCAAGACAACTAGAAAAAAGGCAAGACATACAGAGTTCAGTCAGAAGAGCTGTTACCTTTTGACATCTTTTGTCACATGAAATACATCATGTGTACTAGACTTCAAAGATAGCACTCTTCATACAGTGAAGTCCTGTTAACCATAGCAATCTTGGATTATGTTGTTCTATGTTAACAGCTATGGAATATTATTAAAATTTGCCCTGTTCTTTTCTAATAATGGTGTAACTACAAATTAATAGATTAGTCTTTTGTCTCAGTGGGAGTAGGGGATGAAGAGGAAAAGATTACTAGATACAAATATTGCAGGAAACAAAAACTGTTTCCTAATAGTTGTCGTGGAAAAGATAAATAGTACTGCCCACTGAAAACAAACTTCCCTTTTTGCATCTGCATGCAACTTAAACTTTTAAATCAGGTGTACCACCTGATTCAGCTTCCTCCTCAAGACAATAAATTGGATACTGAAAAGATGGAAGGGTAACAAGGTCAAGAATAATTAAACAAATCCAGACACTCAGCTAGTTGGAATCCCTTTTGTCCAACTTAAGTTGTTAAATATTTTTGCCTAGCTTGAGGAGCAGTGCAAAAGAATACACAGTGCCACAATACTGTTTCAGACGGCAATATTTTTAGAAGGGAAAAATATAGGGAAAAGGAATTGAAAAATCTAACACCAAAGAAAGAGAAAATGTAAGGGGTAATGCTTTCTTCTTGCCCAAGTACCTTCCGAGATTGAATTGCCTGAATCAAATACAATCAAAACATTTAAAAATCTCTATTAAAATTTCAACCATACTAATAAGGGCCACCCATGAAAGTGAAATCAAAACCCAGAATTTTAACAGTCGAAAGCACTTTCCTCTGAAGGCAGTGAACTTGAAGCTTGCAAATCCAGAACAAAAACCAGGAGTATGCTTTACAGAAACAGTCTAATGTAGCAAATCTGATTCTTAAGATCATGGTGAAAAACAGGAACTCTCAAAATGAAGTTTCATATGACAGCTTGTTTTAGGTCAACTAAGCTAAAAATAAAAATTCACTACTGTATACTGTTCCTCATGACATATAACACATATAATGACAAAACTGTCTACATTTCCTCCATTGCCATTGAACAGGAGCTGTAGTTGTATTAACATAAGCTACTGTGAATTCATTACATAAATCAAAAAACCCATTCTTTCAAAATACATCTTATTTTTAAAACAAGATTTAAAGATTAAAAATGTTATTTTATTGTGTATCAGCCAGTTTTGATGGGTAATCATTGTTTATCTTACTCCTTAAACTTTCAGATGTTATTCTAATGAGAAGAATTTACTGGTAACTAGCTTTTTAAATTTCCGATGATGAAAAGCCTGTATTAATTTAACCTACAGATTTCATTTGTTCTGAACAGGAAAAACAATATAAATCACTTTTAAAATCATTAAATCCTGACTTAAATTAATAAAGTCATAATTAGGGCATTATGCTGTGTTTGTTATGGAAGTGGCAAGGCGAGCTGCTTTAATTACTGTCTGTAATAAAAGGAGCAGAGTGCGTACTGCTCCCCAATCAGCGCTGTCAGCCACGACTGAGCTGAGCTGCAAACTCATCAAGTGAGCTGGCAGCAGACTATAGACTAAAGGGTGATCATGTCTGCAGAGGCTACTTGCTGACAACAGTAGAAGAAACAGATTCATACAATCCAAGGTATTAGCCCCAATTACTCAAAATTTTAATGATACTTTAATACATGATAATGCTGTTGATAATGGGCAATCTTAAAAAGTGCTAACACTTAAATATCTTATGACCGTTTCCCTTCACAGCCCTTGCTTCTAATATTTGGATCATAATCTTTTTAATATAACATTATTTAGAAAAATCAATTGTCTTAGTTACATAATGGCAAAGTGTTGAAGGACTTAATTTTAGCTCTCAGCAAAATTACTGCAAAAGGTAATTAAGTGTTTCATACAACTGTTTGATCACTTATTCAGTCTTCCAAGGTTACATTAGTTTTCAAAAAGCCACCCAAGATTTTAGATTAATTCCAAATACAGTAGTTTGACTAATGAAAATATGAATCCAATTCATACACAGAATATATACTGGAACATGGATAAACAGGAAATGTCATCCTTTGTGTGGTATATCCTCAAAATGCTTAACTGAGCACTTAGCAGACTGTTTACAAAAAAAAGGCTTTAGCAGCTACCATCACAAAAATTAAAACCATACAAATGTATGCCTACCTTTCCTCTGCAGCTCCAGATGTTTTCTTTGCTGTAGTTTCTTCTGATTCACTGTCACTTGATATTCCAGTGGAAGAGGAACTCCCACTACTCTCTTCACCACTGCTTTCTTCCTTATGTTCCTTCTCACTTTCACTGCCAGACTCACTATCTGGAAAAAAAAAAAAAAATCACTCTTAGAATTTTCAGATTGTTTTTGTAAATGTCTTAAATAATAAGTATTTTAGGAATCCCACTTGGTTTTAAAATGAAGCTTTAGTATTATAAGATCTAATTACATATTTTACCCTTATTTTCCTAGGGTCAAAAGCAGGTAAGGAACCACTTCACCCAAATATTTACAAAATTCTGTTGATTAAAGAACTGCTCTCTTAAGCATGCAATATAGTTATTAATCAAATTAGAACTCCAAATAATAAATTAGTTAATATGGGTTCTTCAAAACTATAAATCCTATCCGGAGTTGGAGATGACCTCAGGTTTTCTACCACATACGTTCACTTAACTGCAAGATTATCTTTCACACTAATTGCTTAATTACACAATCTTGATAGTGATGATGATTTAATAACTGATTTTTAAAAAACTGTTCATCTGGTAATTAATCATATAGTTAAAATATATTCAAATATCTGAAATGAATATATTATTTTCTTGCTTAAGATATCATTCCCTGATACAATTTGTTGGTACTTTTCTTTGCATATTTCTTCAGATGTGGAATGAGAGGGAAGAAGTACCAAATTCTGATTTAGAAGTCCATTTGGTTAGTTTAACAAGATGCTGCTAAGTCTTTTAAGTCTCTGATGCCATACCTTTTCTGTGTATAGCCTCTGGACCTGGAATAATTCTTTATCTTTTTGTTAAGTCTAGAAGTGGTCAGTGAGACTCATGTTCATCACTGAATTTAACTATATTAGCATCTACTGAACTCTTGGGGAATTGTCTACCTCATATTGAGCAAGTGACTATTCAAAAAATCCTTAGCTCATTTGAAAGGCACCCATCAGTTATCTCCTCCATCATCACCTCAGCTGTAATAAATAGAAACAGGAATGCTGAACTTCAGAGTAAAACAGTAACAATTTACTGAATAAAAACCAAAAATACTACAGTTAAAAAAAGTTTTACCAATTACCAACATAGTAGCACAATAGTACTTTATCAGTAACAACTGCCAAAAAACATTCAAGAATTATGGCTCTCATCAACTAAGGCTTTGGGCATTTTTCTGACAAAACATTAAAGCTACAAATTCTCATTACTCTTGCTAGTTTTAAAGTGAGATGAAAATAGCATACAAGCCTTTTTTTTTTTTTTTTTTTACCTTGGAAGCAAATCAACGTAATTTAATGAACACACAAGCCATATCTATACAATTAGTTGTTATCACTACACTGTTGTAAATGTAATCCTTTTTCCCCTCAATTTTCTGATTTTTACATACCTCTGGAAGCGTTTCGTTTTTTTTTCCCCCTGATTCTTTTTATGTAGTGACCAGTTCTGAGCATAAAGTTATCCAGGAAGCAGAGATGAAAGTGTGTTTCCAAATACCTACCTGATGCACTTGTACTGGCAGAGTCCTCTTCCTCCTCTTCCGATTCAGAGTAGAACTTTTCAGTAGGTTTCTGTGTCTTCTTGAGAACTGCAGTCCATTCCTTTGACTGTAAATAAATTTCAATTTAGGTTTACTTTTAGAACTAGCAATACAAAAATATACATATAACATGTCAAAGAAAAATACCTGCAGTAGTGGTATTAGGCAGTTTCTAAATAAATCCTCTAAGCAAGTCAAGAGTGATGATTAAGCTTCTCTTCTTTTAAACAATTAGGAGCACTAAAAGTTCTGAATATACTTGCAAAAGGTGAGATATGCCTATGAGAGACTAGAAAAAGATTTACTAAGGGAGATTAAAAGCACTGGTAACCATAAATAAATTGCTATGCCAAAAGATTCTGTAGTGTTAAGAGTTTTATTTTTGGTTCCAGTTCAGTTTACCCTAATACTAGAATGAAGAACAAATACAATCTTTATCATCCCTAGTTTTAAGAGGAAAACAGACTCAGACCCACCGAGCAGTAGCTAGATGACAACTGTATTTCACTTCCTTTGGTATTCTCCAAATAAAAGTAATTCTTATCAACAAGAGGACACCAGAACAAAACACTACTTTGGCCAGACTTTTTTTTTTAATTCATATTCCCTAAAATGCTGGGCAGCTGAAGGAAAATTCTAGCCAGGGAAGAAACAAATAGACAGGCAACCACTGATACAGGTCTGCATCAGCGACAGCTTTTTAACTCAATTTCACTCACTTGTTTTGTATAGTCACATGAAGTATTAGAGCAATCACAAAGTCACTAAAGTGGTATTCTCCAAAGAAAATATTTGCAAAAAAAGCCTTGGAAAAAGGATTTTCACGTTTATTTTGAGGTTTAAGTAGTCAGAAGATGTTTTCTGTTGTGTTGTAAACAGGTGTTACTCCATTTGATCAATTTCATGCAAGGCTTTTATTTTTATGGATAAAGGCACCTCCACACACTCTTTCATGCCAACTTTATCATTTATAATAAAACTCTCTGAGATGACTGCAGTCAAACTCTCCTCATAAAAGCTTTCAGAAGTTTGTAAACAAATATCTCTTTTCCTGAAATGTATAGAAGAAGGTAAACAATTATTACTGAAGTACTAAGGAGAAATGCTTGCTGTACCACTTCATTGTTTACTAACCTCTGCAAAACAGATCCATTTTTTAGAATTTTCTCCACTCATTTCATTCCTGACATTTTATAGACAAATTCAAGTGCAATTTAGTGTGGGAGTTGGCTAATAACAAAGACCACATGCTTTTCCATGTGGACATGCTAAAAGAGCTTATCTCTGGGAGCATCACCAGGTGTATTTCAATACACCTCACTTCCTATTACCGTACAATAGCTTTCACTAACATTTATTAGTATTCCGGTATCTGATGCATAAATCAAAACTCTGGTAGCAGAACTTGATTCTGCCTGCTAGTTTCGAGTTCCATAATGAAATGGTATCAGTAGTACATCACTAGCTGAGTAATGTCAACAAGTAACTAGTGCACTAGTAGATGACATTTTCTTTTTAGAAACTTTCCAAATTTTATTCAGATTGCCTGAAATGTAAACCTTGCTCTATTCCAAATTTTACACTTCAAAATATACATAACTTCTAACCCTGATGCTGCCCTTTTGTTTATTCTACCATTTTTTTTTCTGCTATGACTTGGATTTGTACACTGAAAAACCTCCACTGACCTACTACTTTGATATTCCAGCAACATTCATCATTAGCAGTAATAAACTGTTAATACTGCAGCACAGTGAATACAAGAGATATAAAATAAAAGTGAGATGGAAGGAAAGAAAGTTAATTTAGTCTTCAAGTGAAGTAAGGTGGCCTACAGTTGATCCACTTCTCTCATTAAAAATAAACAGTGAGCATGGTGCAATTTTAAAGAATTTTCAATTTCTGAGCTAAAACATGCCACACAGATCATCAGACGCATAAAAAATTTTCAGTACAGCATAAATATATTATTTAACTATTTATATTTCCAGATAATACTTGGTACTGTTTTATGCCTTTGGCAAAGTTACTTTTAACAATGCCAACATACCGATTCGGCCACTTCGACATTTCGCACGGCAGGGTCAGGTGCCACCTCTGGCCAGTCAGACAGCTCCAGGTAGCCAGTGGCTCGGCTGTTCAGCGTGTGAGACAAGGTACCAAGCTGGAAATGATCCCGATCTATTAAAAAATGGGGGAGTGGAAAATATAAAAACAACATGAGCTTACCACAAAGAGCAATCTTAATCAGGGCTAAAGGTAATTGCTATTATATTACCTCAAATGTCATGGAATAAATATAAACTAGGAAGCTCTTCATAGGTCAAAAAACTGATTTCAGTCCATAGATTACAATAATCTCCCCCATAATGGTCAATAAAAAAGCTAATCAGTCAGTGTGTTTAGAGGTGTTGCTCTGAAATGTAGCTTCTCTAAAAATTACTTTACTGTGAATATTAAGAATGACAGCACAGTTAAACAATCCATATACATGTCTTGGCACAAACACATCCAGAATCTTAATAGTTTTTCTTCAAAATGGAGCTCCTTTTAGAGCTTTACAACATATATAAGTATGAAAATTAAAATTGCAAATCATCACAGTAACAGAGCATTTTTAATTCAAATAACCTAATAACCTTTTCATTTGAGAAGACAATGGTTCTTACTTCTTAAAAGATTAAAATGCACTGGGAAAACTGTCACTTTGGAGAAAAACAATAAAAAGCTAATCTACAGAGATTCAATTTATTTCAGATTCATAATAGGTTTACAGTGCATTAACAACCTTCTATTAAAGTCTAGATAAAAGACAAAAGACATTTTCCTAAATGGAAGAATATTTTTCCTCAAAATACACACTTTCTGCTATTAAGCCAAATTTAAAATCCACACAAACAGTTTTGCCAGGGTTTGTCATCAGGCAAATGTAATGTGTGTGCAACACGTAAACCTTGTTTGCTGAAAAGCAAGTAAGTGAGTATCCTTGCATATTAATCATTTGTGTTCGCTAAGTGACGCAATTTGTGAGTATATTTGGAATAGAATAGGCTGTCACATTCCTTTACACAATGAACATTTACCAAATGATTTTGGCAGTAATACCTTTAAAGGGAGACTCGAGCAATGGAGCAGGTTTCTGTGCCAGAAATATTTTTTTGGCATATTTGCTTAAAGCTCCACTCTTCTCATTCGGAACAATAAGCTGCCTAATAAATCTTGTACGGTCTCTGATGTCGTAGCTTTGATCATACTTGCCGAGATTTAATACATACTGGGTAAGCAATTTTGTCTGTGGAAAAAAACAGGACAAGAACAGAATACAAGTTATTTATGATTATTGATAACTCTGGATAAACATATTTAAAGAGGTAATAAAAATGAATGGTTATGTCAAACAAATGTTGTTCCACAGGGAATATGCATTTCTAAAGCTGCAAATGGAATTCTGAAGCCAAAGCACATGTCCTCTTCTGTATTGGGGAGGTGAATGCTGAGTACTGAGAAGCAGCCATGTGCTAGATTATTAAACTGCTGAAGTGGAAAGAAAGGCATCATTAAAAAAATAATCATATATGGCAAACCCGCTGAAGGATCTACGTGAGGATAATGAATGTGGAAATACAACTAAAAACATGGCACTCAAAACTTAATCGGAAAAATATGCAGGACATCAAAACATCAGAGGGTATTAGGGGGCTGGCAAACTGCTTCTGCTGAGGTGTGTTTTATGAAGAGATACAGTCCCTGGCATAAGCAGTGTCTGCACTCTGACTGCACTCAGTTACTTTATCCTGAATTATGACCCATTAAAGCAGACACATGAATCACTGAACTGGATTACTGCAAATTATTTGCAGTGCATTTAGCTGTTACTTTTTCATAAAAGCAAGCTGCTGATGCCCTCTAAAAACCAGGATAAAAGACTTCTTCCATTTTTTTCTTGAAGCTTAAAGCCTCCAGTAATATCGGTCATTTATTTATTTATGTAAGAGAACAACTTGTATTATCATGCTTTTTACAGGATAATAGGATTTCTTAATTTGATGTCTGAGAAGATTAACACGTATTAAATAATTTTAATAATACAAATAAATTTAAACACACACACACACACAGGAAGACTCTCCCTTAGAAATACTGTAGGGTGAGCAGAGCAATAACATTGAACAGAACTGCAATGATCAAATGCATTTGAAAGAATTATGCAACTTTGCTCATACAGAAGGAAACAGTAAAAAGAGCAAAATTAATTTATCATGACAACAAAGTTAATTTTTAGTATAACAACTAAGAGTAGGTGGGTAACATAAGGTTTAGACATTGACAAGAGGTATTTACATTCTTTATGCAAAGAAACTAGCTTGCATATATATTTTGTTTATCAGGCAACTGTTATCAGAGTAGCATTTTTAATTGCATGAGGGGAGGAATATGCAAAAAAAAAGCATTACATTTTGTGATGTACAATTTGTTAGGAAAAAATCCCTCTGGAGGATGCAAGTTAGAGCATTCTACATATCTACAAAGACTTTTTCAGCATACTAGTTAATTCCTGTAAGTGACATACACATTAACCAAAACTTTTTTTTTATTTTTAAACATACATGTAGGTTGCTCCAAAAGTAATGTCTCCTATTTATTTCCATGGAAAGTACAACAGATACTAAGAGCACAATAGCACTATTTGATGGAGCAAATTTTCAGCTACCAAACACTCTTTTTAAACAGAGTCCCCATCATTAGTTATGCATTTACAGCTGCAATGAACAAGAGCCTTGTAGCCATCTGCACCACTGCTGAAACACACAACCCACCACCTCACTGTGCTCACATCCACTGCTCGGTCTCCATAAATGTTCAGGAAGTGCCAATGAACATCAATAGCTACCATTATTTCCATATGGAATTCAATGCCACACCTTTGCTCCATACACACTTCCATGTCAGACGCCCCTCTGCTGCCAACAGTCACATGGCAAGAAAATGTAATGGTGATAAAGTTAAACCTCTACATCCATACCACCACCATCTGCCTATGACATTACAGGCCAATATGATAAAATAGGAGGCACTGTTTTTGGAGCAGCCCTGATACAACATGATATTGAAAGATGGCATTCTCTTTAATGGAATCATTTCCATGATCCTTTCTTTCTTACTCTTCACTAAAACACCTCTTCCATATTTTTCTATACAAATACATATGGTTGAATGCTCCATACTGCAAGAATTCTCCTTGCAGGTATCATAAATAGCTTTAATGAAAACAGCAACAGAACACTAAATTTTTTTTATGGCAGTGCAACCAAACAAGTCAGAGAAGCTTTTCTACATGGAGGTAGCTAATAGAAACAATTAATTTTAATTAAAAACAGAAAATAAATTAATGAACACTCCTTAGTTTTGCCAACAAAGGAATATCTAAAAGCTGAAAATTGTTTCAGCAAGCAAGTTAATCTTCAGAAATATGACAGAATCTGCACATATCTGCCTTCATACTTCAATAAAACAAAGCACTCTGACATAAATATTCTATACATTTATTACCATATGGCCACCTCTTGTTATCTGCACATGCTCATTATATACAGACATAATATCTCCACACTGTTAGCATTTACTACTATTTGTACATTTTGGTTTGGCCAGTAAGAAGGTATAGAACAGACCATCCTTCAACAATGTTTCTAGAACTTTCCAATAGCACTGCTTCTATTTAAGAATATAATGTATATTTTAGACTAGCAGCAATTTGCTGTTTGGCTCTTCTTGAAAAATATTTTAATGCAAATATCACCAGTGGCTTTGCCTCTACAATGGGAGAGAAACAGCAAACAATCCATTCTTAATTGTCATTACCTCACAGTAACTTGACTCCTTTGATACATAAGACAAGGATGCTGTGATAAATCACACTCAACAAATTATCCATTTAGAATTACTTGGGTATCCAGCATGACACCTATCGTGTTACACAACAGAAACACAACTAAGTATCTTTTATTCTTCTTCTTACAGGCAAAGAACAGCTCAAGCAATTAGATACCATGTTTTTCTGCATAATTTGTTTCCCTCATATGAACTCCACTTACACAGCTATCTACTGAATTCACAAAGATTTTTATGATCCTAATTGACAAGAGAAGGAAATGAGCTTATTAAACAACATGGACAATCAGAAGAAATCTTATTATGTATTTATCCAGATAGCCCTGAACCTGGAGGCCTTAAATTATAAACAGCTGTTGCAAACTCATCACACAACTAAAAAAAATAGAACTGGAAATTCTTATTAAAAAAAAAAAAAATTAAAAATTGAATTTTCAAAGTATTCCTGAAAATGTGCTGCATTAGATGTTTGGACTCTAAGGAAATTAACAGCAAATCAAATATGATATCCTCAGGATTTGAAAATACAAAGTCATATTCCCTCCAGAACTCATTGCTTTTTTACCTGCTTGTCTTTCATCTCGTTTTTGTGTTTCTGCTGTCCTGACAGTACTTTTCAGTAAAATGACATTGCATCTTTAAGACTACCTCAACTCCCCTGGCTTTGGAAGAAATTAACAAAGAATTAAAAAGTATTACATGGTGGAGTAGGATACAGGAGAAAACATGGACAAGGGGAGAGAGGGACAGAAAGACAACTGAGCAGCCAAGTGTACAGGATTTGCCTGAAAGCTCGAAAATTAGGTTAAAGAGTGGCTGGATGTTTTAGGAACTGAAAGAAATGTTTTAATGAGGGAGTTGAGAAGAGTCTTATTCCTGGCAATGATATAGATAAATGAGAAGTGCTGCTGGCTCCTAAAGGCAAGAACACCTATTATAGTTTGGAAGGAGTTTTCAATCAAGCCAGATCATCAACCTATCCTCTTTGAATTTTGTACAAAAATATCTTGATGTCTCAAGAAAAAAGCTTATTAATACACAACTTAAAAGAGGAAAATACCTTTCCATGATACTCATCATTTAGCAGGCATCTCAGGAGACAGATTCATTCACTTTATAATCAACTTCATATTTGAATCAATTAACATGCCTCACGTATAATGTTTAAAAATGTATTATGACCACATGAATTTGGAAAAAGAATATCACAGAAATCATCATCTCCTAAGGATTTTTGGCCATTTGGAAAAATTAGTAAATACTAGCAATGGCCCAGTAAGAGACAATTAAGATAATCAAACCAATCTTTACTTAGCTCAGTCAGCACTTTCATTAAGAAGAGCATTGACAGAAAGAAGTCACCTTTTGTTACTCACCCATTTTAGACTGTCTGAGCAAAGGACAAGCATTCATTCTTATTTGAATGCAAGGCGAGACAGTTCATCTCCCACATGCCCTACAGAATAAAGTCTCAGATGGATCAAGTCTGCAGTTAGATATAGCTATCAAGGAACACATCACTGCTGCAGACATGCAAGATCCTATGCTGTCAAAACTGCTATGAAACAAAAAGGACTAGGAGTCCAGTCCATATATCTCAAACAATATATTCATTATATATTTGGAAAATATTTCACAAACTTTTATAGGAAAATTAGAATGTGAAAAATTAGTGTCAAGATGCTATATTCCACAGCCAGAGAATGACGAAGTTCACAGTACGGTCACTGAGATGAATTAAACAGTAGGCCCCTCTCACAGCTATAGAAATCTAAGTTCATCCTTTTGTATTATCTGACATTTTTAGGTTATCTTTATCACCAGAGATGATCAAAACCCACTCTCTTACAAAGAAAAGTGAAATAATAAAAAACAGAGAGAAAAGAAAAAGCAGCCACTATCTTTAAGATGAGCACCAATGGAAAGACACTGAGGCCTTTTTCTGGCATCTCCTTTTAAATATCCTGAACCAAAACGAGCGACCTCCCCAGAAAATTCTGCATTTTGATCCAGAAAACAGCAAATCTCAGCTGGAAAATTTCCAATTTTATGTTAATTATACAATTTATAAATAGTTTCTATTTACCAAAATTAAAAAAATATCCACAAATCTTCTCAATAAAGAAAGGGACAAAAAAAAAAAAAAAAAGAGCAATTTCATCAATACATTTGTGTTTATGATACAGCACACTCAAGGGCTGTTGGTTAGGTTTAGGCTGAGTTCTAAAAAAACTTGGACTATCCAGATGGCACAAAAAAACGACTGTGACTGTAAATATATTCTCTTGTGTATTTAAGCCTTACCTGCTTTGAGTTTGTTAAATAGAGTTTTGCTCCCAAATTTAAGATCTGCAACTTTACAAGGTCATCTTCATTTATGAAGCTCTTGGCTGTCTTTCTCAAAACATCAGGTGCAATCTTTGGAACCCGTTCACAGTACTCCCCAATGAGCCACAAGATGCTGGCTCTTGCTACTGGAACCTGAGAAAACATCACACATCATAAATTAACACATTCACAAGGAAAACGTGCTTACTTGCACTGTGTTCAGTAATAAGTTAAACAAAATACTGCTTAAACATAATTGTCATGAAAGAAATACAGACCCAGATTATATCTCATTCAACGTATTCACTGAGTGTACATACATAGACATACAGATTCTGACCCAAAATACACTCCAGTTGACAAGGCAAGCAGATCAGGAGTGTGAATAGAGACACAGAAAAGCAGTGCCCATGATCACAGTACCAGCCAATGGCAATTAGAAAGAAAATCTAAGTATTTCAGGTTCAGCTGGGAATGCTTGCCATTAGATTATGCTAAAGACCATGCTTTTTGTGTCTATATTCATATAGAAATGGTTTTCAATAAACAGAGCTTCCTCAGCTCCTGCCCATCAACTTCAAAAGCATAGGAATCTAAGACTACTGTTATTTTTCCTCTATTCTTATTTAAAATCATCTGACAGCAAGATTCATATTATTGCAAATGTCCTGTGAGAGCTCAGCATCAGATTCTGGAGAGAGAGGAGTTCAAAATTAGTCTTTTCAACTTTGGAATAGGATCTGTCTCCTTAAGTAGAAACACTCAGACCAGAAACTTCACACACGCCTTTTATTTTTGGAGGTACTTGACTGTGTTTCACAGGAGTTAAGTGGCATGGCGATGCACGCAGAGAATTTTCAAAGGTGGGAAAATTCATCCAGGAAAAAGCATGCCCTTAGATCACCACAGTTAGTAGAAGCACCACAAGTTCTACACGGAACCTTTATTGATTCACTTTGAAAAAACACAACTGTTCTATCCTCTAAAATGACAGACTTTAGGTTAGAAAAAAATGCCAAGGGAAAGCTTCCAATTGCAATTGCAATTTCAGCTATTTTTTTTCACTTTTTTTTTCGAAGTAAAAAACCTTCTATGACTCTCTACACTACACAGTGTTCTTTTCGAGTAAGCTTACACTGAAGCTAGTTTGAATTCTGCCTTAGGAGAACTGGAAAGAACAAGTTTGAGAAGTTCAGCACTGCAGTTCTTAAAACACTAATTCTTTCTATCCTGTATTGGTGTTATAATTACTTTTTCAGCACCTGCCCATAACTCATTTACATGTCAGAATTACAATGGGAACCAACTGCTAGTTATTCTATCCTGTATGCATTTTAAATTTGGAAACTCTGCTTTTCAGTTACATTCATAACTTAACAAATGGCCCAGTAAACCATATTTAAGAAAAGCTAATTATGTTCACAAGAAATTCTAGTGATTAAACACCTTCTAGTATTCCAGAAGGATTGAGAACAGCTTTGAATAAAATCAGTCCCAAATACCTGACTCTATCCTGCACATTGTTGCAAATACATAAGCCACCAAAAGTTCAAATAAAGGACTGCTTCTACTGAAAGAAGGAGCAGTAAGATCATGGAAGGACATAACTCAGGAGTCCAATAACAACAACAAAACATCCCTCAAGATAAACACCAGATGTAAACTCTGAAAAGGCAGTTAACATAACTACAAAATAATGTAGTGAGTGTGCTATAACACAAGTATGTGAGATAGACAGATATACATAAATATTGAGACTTTTTAATGGATTGATTAAATTAAAAAGGTCTTGGAACCTATGGCATGGGAGACAGGAACAAGGTACTGAACAACTGCTAAATACAAGAACTTCAAATGCAGTCAGAAAATGTTCACCTGCACTACAGTAAGACTGATGTCATTACTGTACACTGATTTCAGAAGGGAAAGAGGTTATTTCTAATGTTCCAAAGGTTACACTGCATTAAGACCTCACTCCCGATCTATTACTTTAAATTGGGCTAAAGAATAGTAATTGAGTGGTACATTAAATTTTCCAGTATTGGAGCAGTTCAAGTTGCCTGCTGTACAGACAGAATACCTCTAAATAAGAATATATGGGCAACTTCAGATTTCAGTTATGCTAGATTTATTTTTCTTAAATATTTCATTATAGACTTGTTAAAAAATTACAATTCTACAAAAGAACACCAACTACCCCGCTTTAGGCAGCAGCCCATCAGAAACATCTCTTCTCTATTACTGCCTTGCTCACATAGCAGACTTCTTTCAAAAACTGTATTTATTATGAAATACAAGAACTAGAAATGTAATTTTTCAAGTCAAATCCAGGACTACGCTTTAAAAACACAATGAAATATTTAGATGTACACTGTTTTATGCCTGAAGTTTTTTTTTTTATTTTCTAATAAACTTCTTTGTAAAATGTAAATCTTACAAAGTAGTCTTACAGTGTCAAATAAACAAACTAAACCAGCTTAACTTGAAAAACACAGAGTATCTTGTGAGACTGTGCATTTTAACCAAACTACTATATAAATACACTATATATTAAACACAATTTTGTGCAATGAGAATCGATATCAATTAGAGACTTTTTGAATCGAACCCTAAGTGGAGACCATTTTAATGAAAAGTATATGTGGAACTGATGAACCCAATGTTTCCGTGTCACTGGATTCATTTGGGGTCAAAATCACACAATATTTTCAGACTTCTTTTTCCCTGCTTAAGACTGCCTGTCTTCAAACATGTAATATCAAGTGCATGATCCTGCAGCCATTGTTTCCAGAGTTCAAAACAGCAAACAAGAAACGAAAACACTTCTAGACCTTCACTGCCTTTTCCAGTATAGCATAAGTAGGGACCTTGAATCAACAAAAATGCTGAAAATAATACCTTCATTATTCAGCCCTGCTCTGCATTGTTCTCAAAAGCAAACAGGATGGCAAATTACTTTGCCTTATGTTTTATTCTATACGCCCTGAGCAAGTCATTAAGTGCACTTCTGAAGCTGTAGTACAAAAAGGCAGTTTCTACAGCCATTTTAACCCATTATCTGTCTGGAAGAAAATAAATAAATCGTTTTTTAAAAAAGTATATATATATTTTTGTAATTAAAAAAAATAGAAAAACAACTTACAGCAGGTACTTATAGCAATTAGAGAAAAACATCTACAAACGTTTTACAGATTATTCTAAATAGCACATTTCAAAAAGCTCTTGTTATTCCATTCTATGCTCATTACACAATATACGAGGCTTAAAACCACCAGTTCTGGCTATTTACATTTGCCAGAAAACAAGTTGATATTCAAACAGATTGTAACTGGAATTAGAAATGGAAAGAGGTTAACTTTGATGTGGCAATGTCAGAGTGTCAGTACAAAGACAAGACACAAAAGTAAGCACCTCCTGTGTTTACCTGGTTGAATTAGTCTAACCAAACTATGTTAAAACTTAATTCAGGTTAAAATTGCCAGTACTTGTTCTCAGACAAATTCTGAACCATGTGCATTTTGAAAGAAAATTATTTGTGAAAAGTAATGAACATCATGGTTATTCTATAATCTTTTGAAAAAGCCCCTCAGCAACATTTACAAAATCTTGATCCTTTTTGAGGCTGGAAGGCATTCCCTTGAAAAAGAAAGGACTAGAAAATATAAAATACAGAAAAACAGTTACAACCATCGGTTGTTCCCCAGGGCCCTGTCAGTGAGGACATGCTGCTCAACAGATCTGCAAGTAAGTGAGAAAAGTACCTAGAAAGCTGACAAAGACTGCTGACAGTAAATTATTCAATGGAATGTAAACTAAAACAGCCTGAAGAGTTGTAGTGAGTCATTAGTGGCACTTAAGAATTGGCCAGAGTTTATGCAGGCAGCCTTGGTACATTAATATCAGAACTCCAGAAAAAAAACCCTACAAAATACTGATAAGAGTCCAAACTTTTTCTATGAAGAGTATCTCTGGATTACAAGCAACTCTATAGCTCTTTGGAGATACTAACTCAGTGCTCAGTAGAAATCGAAAGGCAGAAAACACTGTGGAAGGTAAAAAAATATATAAATAATATATTTATGTCATTAAATTAAATTTCTTTATACTCTGATTACTGTGGGCAACTTCTGGTCACTCCACTTCAAAAATCACAGGAATCAGAAAAAAAACAAACAGAAAAAGTAAAGGCTTATCAACAGATACAAAATACAAGAAGAAGTTATTTAGACTGAAGTTTTTGGGTTACTGAACATGATAACATGGATAGCAAACATAGATCTTTGCCTGGACACACCTGAGGTACAAGTCTAAGGTAAAAATGAAAACATAGAAAAAGAAGAAAGATAAGCACTCTTTTTAATATGTAAGAAATATCAGTTTAAGGGTGAACTGAAACAGACACACTCCTAAAGTTTTATCCTAAATGAAAGTGATTGTTAACAAGAGCTCTGTATTTTTTAATTTAACTTCCTACCATTCCTTATAGTTAGGTAATACTTAGGTTACTACCCATCCTGTCATTATTTAAATGGCTTTTGAAGACCTTCAACAAGAATGAGTTAACTGCAGATTGGAAGAGATGAACAAAACATTGTTATGGAAAATTTTTAGGCATCTTGTCACTGAAAATCAAAGTGAAATTGATAGCAACATTAATGCAACAAATTCATGCACCAACCCCAAATGTCACTTCACTCAGTTTCCACCAAATTTGTTTATTTTATGGCTAAGTCTGAAGTATGGTTAAAAAAATGAAGATCATTTTTACCTTACACATATGTCTTTAACTGCTTATTGACACGTTCATTCTTTCCGCTGTTTTACATAGTATTAAACTTACATTAAATTAAACTCTAAGCAGCACCAAAGAATTTCTTTGCTCACACTCGCCTACTCACTACTTACTTTCAAGCTCACCTAAGATTATATTTGATGGATTTGGGCACCTTGGTCAACAGCAACTTGAACACAAGTCAGCAACATGTCCTGGCAGCCAAAAGGGCCATCTATCCTCTGAGCTTCACCAGCACCACCAGTGGGCAAGGGGAGGGGTTCTTCCATTCTGCTCTGTTCTGGTGCACTGTCACCTTGAGCATTGTGTGCAGTTGAAGAATCACAGAATAGCTGGGGTTGGAAGCAGTCTCAAAGCTCACCCAGTCCAAGCCCCTGGCATGGGCAGGGCTGCCAGCCACCTGCTCAGGCTGCCCAGGGCCCCATTCAACCTGGTCCTGAACACCTCCAGGTATGAGGCATCTACAGCTTCTCTGGGCAGGTTGTGTCAGTGCCTCACTGCCCTGCGAGTAACCAATTTCTTTCTAATTTCTAAACTAAATCTCCCCACTTTTAGTTTAAAGCCATTCCCCTTTGTTTATCACTGTGAGGAGTGGCTGAGGTCCCCGGGTGTGCTGAGCGCAAAGCAGAGGAGCTGAGGGGAGGCCTGATGGCGGCTGCAGCTCCTGACAGGGAGCGGAGGGCAGCGCTGAGCTCTGCTCTGTGTGACAGCGACAGGGCTGAGGGAACGGCATGGAGCTGTGCCAGCGGAGGGCAGCTGGGGGCTGGGGACAGGGGCTGAACCAGAGGGCGGAGGGCATGGAATGGGCTGCCCAGGGCAGTGGGCACAGCACCGAGACTGTCCAAATTCAAGAAGTATTTGAGCAATGCTCTGAGACATAGGGTCCTGTGTGGGACCAGGAATCGGACTTGATGATCTTTGTTGATCCTTTAGGATATTCTATGATTCTACAAAAATAAACCTCTGTTTAAAAAATACCTCTACAAAAGTGTGTGTACTTACATACATGTATATATTTCCTTCTGTGTTAACTAAATGTTAAAAAAATCTTGCTTTGCATTATGTTGTAAACAAAAAACTGAGGCAACTATGTTGTGAACTCACATTTTAAAATGCACGTGCAAATCTAGGGAATTTCCATAATGCTTTATTAAATAATGAAATTTAAAATTCCGATTTTCAGTAGTTATCACACTACCTTTTTTTCAATGAGAAGCAGAGTTCAGATTCAGATTTTGATTTTTGATCTATTTCTCTTACAACTCTGTTCTCCTACACCACCATCTCCTGTTATTCTTTACAGCTTCATTACTGTATATTCTTAGTATCTCACAGTAGTTCAAGTATTGCATGTTTTCTGTTTTGTCCTTAATCAAATTAAAAAAGCATTATTAAAAAAAATCCCTGTATTTAAAACATGAAATATTTACACCGAAATATTAATTTGGTAAAATAAATATTAGCTACAAAAAGATTAAAATGTTAAATGGAGTACTTAAGAAACACCTATTTTATCTTGTATAATAAACACATGATAGTAAGAATACAAATCCATTTGGAGAAGTGCCAGAAAATGTGTACAATAAAATTATCCTCAATTTATGAGATTGTAATTATTAATAAAATCATTGTTCATATTTTCTGAAAGCACAAGTGATTGTTATGATTGTTATAAAATAGGTAATACTTGTTTGATATTTAATTGGCAGCAGTATCTCAACTTCTTTATATTCTGGATATGAAAAACCCAATAGAATTACATTATGTCTACTTAATTGTGATGTTTGATTGTCAGTTGTTAAGTATCTGTTCTATTGGCCAAAGATTTATTTGTTTAGTCTGTTCAGTAAGTATGGATGGAGAAAATCACATGTCCTTCTTTCAAACTTTCCCAAATATGAAACATAGACAATTAATTCATTCATTTAGAAACTATTTACTGTTCAATCATCAATAAACACGTAATTATATGAAACAGAACTGTCTCATTTTTAGCATCTATAGAAAAATAATAATTGAGAGATCAAATTTTGATACCCTTGGGGTATGATGCAATAGGTAGTTAATTATGTTCTGTCCTACATTGTAATTTAGAATAGAACGATGAATGTTTTATCAATAACTGAGACTGCAAGGAGAGTCTGACTAGTAAATATCAATATACCTTAACTTCAATTTAGTCAAAGGATAGGTAATAGTAAAACAGATGTTACTGTTAAGTGCCAGAGAATCTCAAAGGTAAAAAAAATAGAAGTGTGACTAAAATAAGCATTTTACCACTCACTCAGCAGTGCATTTGGCGTCACGGAAAGGTAAGGTGATTTGGTAGTGTCCTGGCTCCATAATAGCTGGCATGGTGCTGTGTTTTGAATTTAGGATGAAAACAATACAGACAGCAAAGGTAGAAGTAACAACAGAAGGGTTAGAAATGTATGCTATGCCACCATGTGAAACTATTCTGGACCTTGAAAAGCAAGTCTTAGGGCAACATGGCATCCCTGAAAGAATTCAGCCATCATGAGGACTCACTTCCAAAAAGAAACTCTTAGACATCAGGGCCAAAAGGCACTGCTTTGAGTGGGTATATCACATCCTGTACCATGCACCAGCATGTAGGAAAATCAAACAACTACGCTGAGAGTTGGGACATCCAAACACTGTGATACACATTTAGGAAAGGCCACCTGGTTAGTCAACAGTAGGGGATATGCCAAGGGATGTCTCCCTGTTCAGTTAAAACTGGAGAAGGGGAGAAAGCTCCTGGAATGCACATAAAAATGCTCTGGGAAAGAGTCTGGGTTATTCCTTACTAAGGCGAAGGCAAACTCATTCATGGCATTGTTTTTGCTCAAGGACCTGGGTGTACTTGGTGGGTAATGTGGAATACAACATGGACCTCAAGGGAATAGTGATAACACTGTGGTAGTGCAAGTTCTTAGCTACAAAGAACTACTTCTCAATGCAGTCACCACTATTGGCTATGCATTTTCACCAGTGAAGTGCATGCATGCTGCACATGTAAAAACCTCCACCAGCAGCAGTTACTCTCTGCTGTCATCTATCACACAGCAACAAAATATAATGCAATACTGTCAGAAAGATTCACCTCTACTACTCTACCACCAACATTTTGGAGCATCCCTCATAAGTAATGCTGTATGTCATTGCTATTGTGGTTGCTTTATGCCATATCAAAGGTATTACAGTAAGTCACCCAGATTAATGAAGAATGAATTTTGATGGAAATCAGCAAAGTGCATAACTGATGGAATGAGGAAGGTGCAGTTTTGACTGCAACCAGAGCTGGCTTCAGCATGTATCACTTCAACACCACATACCATCTCTCCATCCCTGGAGGTCTAATGTGACTGATGCAGTCCAAAGTTACGGGCTAGAAGAATTCAATGGACATTTTAGAAGGATGTTCACTAAGGGAATTACACCTGTCTGTATATTTCAAAGAACAGGAGGGTGGTGATAATTAGAAAGTGTGGGACCTAAGCATGATATAAATGATACAGAACTAAGGGGTGGATATTGTTCTGGTTTGAGCTCAGACAAAGTTAGTTTTTTTCATGGTAGCTGGTATGGTACTGTGGTTTGGATTTGTGAAGGAAATATTGCTGTAACATACTAAAAACAATATTTTATTTATTGCTGAGCAGCACTTATACCAAGAACCATTCTGATTCTCATGCAGCTCTGCTACAGAGGATGCTGCAGGGGGACACAACCAGAACTGCAGAGCCAAACTGACTACAGGGATACTCAATTCCATGTGATATCAAACTCAGTAGTAAAACTGTGAGAAGTCAGAGAGGATGTCATTGCTCAGAGAGTCACTGGGTATTGGTCAGCTGGTGGTGAGAAACAATACACTGCAACATTTGTTTGCTTCATTTTTATCTTCCCTTTATTTCTTATTAAACTGTCCTTATCTCAGCCCACAGGTTCTTGCACTTTTAAGTACTCTCTCTTATCACACTGGAGAGGGAAGCAGAAGGGAAGAGAGAGCATGAACAGCTATGTGGTGCTTAGCTGCCTGCCAGGTCAAACCACAACCTGGGTATGTGTGTATATAAGTGGGTATGGAAAAAGATCGCTGGGACAATAGGCTGAAAATCCTCAAGATCAGTGTTACCTTGCCCTTATTTTTGTTTCAACTTACCCATTTGTGCTCTAGAAGCTAAACAGATTTGATCTTGGCCTGAGGGTACTAACAATAATCAGTATTTCAGTATTTTTTTTTCAAAGAAGCCTCCCAAGTTTCAAACTGATGCCATTTAATAGTTCCTATTTCTTCTTCCTTAAAATTGAGTAAAATAATAATAATTTATAAAGTAAAAAATTAAAAATTATTTCTACTTCTCTTATACATCCATTTCCATTCATGGTCCAAATTCAAAAGAAATGGTCTAATTTTTATCAGTCAATAAAGAAAATATCAGTCTATCAGACACTACACACAAATACTCACTGTAATGTTATCCAAGAGTTTGGCCATATGTTTAATTATTTCACCATGGTGTGCTGGCTGGGTTTGCAGCAGTTTCTTAATGACAACAACACTTTCAGCAACTACAATTTCTGTTTAAGACAAAACAAATTATTATTTTTAAAAGCATTTATGAAGAAGAAAAGGTCATAAATAATGAATTGTAAAAGATGCAATAGGCTTTCAAGATATGTTTTGCAGAACAGAATATTTGGAAACAAAGATGTACACCAGTCCACTAAGTAATATGAAGTTAGGTTTCTAGAAGCAAGTTATGGGCAGCAAAAAGGATAAAGCCATGTTCTAAACGTAAAAATATCAACCTACCACATACTTTCTCTGAAATTGCCTTTTAGTAAAGCTGTTTGCATTTTTTCAAGTTGACAAACAGAAAGTTCACCAACTACACATATTTGTAAATAATTTGGTATCTGTATTAAAAATGCAAGTAATTCAAAGAAATGTACAATGTTAGAAAAGACAGCTCACCCTTAAAAAAAGAGAAACAGCTAAACATTTATTTTGCACTTTTTCACGTTCTAAACACCCTCTATCAAGTCTGTAACCTAATTTCTAGTATACTGAAAGAAAACTTCTAAATACACAAGCCATTTTACGATTTACGTCAGTCACGACTTGGACTTCTTAACTGTACAAAGTAATGTCCACAGTCTAACTTGTATGAAATGTGCACCTTTTGAAGCTGAAAAAAAAAATCCCCACTGGTGCAAAATAAAGCTTTTATGCAAGAATAAAGTCTTAAGGAAGAACACTAAAAAAAAGATGAAGTCAAACATAACCAAAGCTGAAAGCAAAATAAAAAGACTACTGCAAGAGTTCAAAGTTATTCTAGTTTCCATTTATATTACAAATGGGAGTAACTTTTTTCCTAAAGTATCAGTGTTTAAAATAAAGAAAGTATACAACAACCATTCCTTAAATTTCATAGAAGTATTTCTACAGCTGAATAGTTAAACTGACACATGGACCATTCACTCAGAAATTAAACAAGATGAAATTACAAAAAAGCAGTATGCAGAAGAAATCTCTATTTTTTTATTACTATTGTTTAGAAAGCAAACTTCTTTAAGGGGGAGTTATTCATAAGCTCTGAATATGTATTATTACACTATAAACCTTAAATTATACCTTACAGCTTTTTATGTCATCCTTTATTTGACATGTTATCCCAGCCACTTGGAGTGGGAGATATTGATAGAACAACCTCCGCCACCGAGTGTTCATATTACTTAACAGAGAAAAAGAATGGCTAAGAAAAGTAAGATTGTAACCAAAAGAATGAGATGGACATGAGGTCATTATTAAAAACACTTGCTGACAATGTAGTATTGATTATGATGAACTGTAAGTGCAATATACAAAGTGTCAACCTAGGACCATCTTCAGTGCGCAGAAGTAAATCAGTGTATACACGATTCATTTTACCAAAAAAATTAAGTACAAACAAAAGCAAAATGTATTCATATTAGGATAAAGACTGACATAACCCAGAAAAAAAAGGCTCTTCAAGGCTTGCTTGGTGCACATGTAGAATCCCAAAAGTAAGCATGAAATGTAGTACATGCATTTAGTCAAGGACAGGAAAACAACAGCTTCTACATCATGTACATAAAATCAGAGAACAACGGATGGAAGAGATGCAATTATTGATATTCTGAACAATCATTAAGAAAATTAAAAATGCAACTCTACTAGAATTATCTAAGAAAAAGTGCATATAAGACAATGATAAATGAACCAAAAAAATCATGAAATAAGTGTACATTATCTTATATCTAAAGAATCACAAAAAGTAAACCAAAATCTTAAAATAATGACTACATGTATTAGAAAAGGTGATTAAGAATAACACTGCAATAAAAGGAAACTACAGGAGGGATCAGCAACTTTTCAGAAGCCTTGGTAAAATTACAAGTCATAGTAAAAATTTTAGTATGTTAACTGATAGCTTTCTACAATTTCTAAGCAATAGGGAAATGGCTACACTGAGTAGGAAAACCTCTGAATACCTTGGAGCTTAACAACTTCTTAAAAACCTAATATATATTATATGATAGGTTATTAGATGTTCTATATTATACACAGAAAACTATGAGTTCACAGCTATCACAGAAACATGGTGGCACAAATTACACAACTGGAATACTTTGATTGAGGGCTACAAGCTTTTTAGGATGGATAGGCAGGGCACAAGGGGTACGGAAGCTGCCTTCCATAGAGGATAGATTGTAAAGAGCTGCCTCTAAAAACAGCCTCAATGAAGTTGAGAACTTATGGGTTAAAATTAGGGACCAGACTAAAATAGGACATCGGGTGGTCTGAGTCTACCACAGGCTGCCTGCAATAGCAGGCTTTCATCCTGATGGGTGATTTCAACCAGCTGCTTATCTGCTAGGAAAGCAACATGGTGGACTGCATGTTGCTTTTACATGCTTTTACAACCCAATGTTGGAATCCAGGTGACTTAGGAGTCTGTTGCAGATAACTTTCTGGCAAACCCCTAGTTGATCCAGGAATTAGGGGATGGGATCCTGTGAGAAACTGTCCTTGGGGACAAGGAACAGAACAGATCTGTTAGCTCTTTAAGTACACTTTTGTGGGAGCACAAGAGCTCTCCCCATCCCCCAGAGTAAGAAAGCAAACAGAAGAGGTAGGAAAGGTACATGGCTGAGAAAGGACCAGGTGATTAAACTGAGGGAAAAGAAGGAAAGATGCAAGTGGTGGAAGCAGGGAAGGGTGGCCTGGGAAGAACACACACATGACATTTGGAAAGGCAGAAATGAGCTCAGGAAAGTCAGCATGCACAGAGAATTTGAGGAGGGATGAGAAAAATAATAAGAAGGCATTCCACATGTACATTGGTCACAAGAGAAGGTCAAGGACAGCATAGTCCCTCTGATAAGTGAGAAGAGAGAAATGGCTACAGTGGATATGGAGAAGGCTGAGGTACTCAACAAGTTCTTTGCCTCGGTCTTCATCTACAGTAAAACAATTTGCTATCTGCCAGGTTCAAAAGATCTTCAATGTGTCTTTTGCAGCCTTTCAAAATAATAAGTACAAGAAGATAATAGTAGGATAGAAGGACGATAGTAAGATTCTAAAGGTCTCTCAAGACCTTCAGAATATAGAAATATTTTCTAGATTATTACTTAGAATCAGTCAAGAAAACTAATCTTGTTGGGACATATCTTTATATTCATGCACATACATGTCTGAACATATATGTACTACACTTATGTAGAATGTGTATGAAATACACAATGAGTTATTTTGAAGAAACTCGTATGTTGAGAAGTTAAAGTTAACCAAAAAAAAGCATATTCTTCTATTCTTCTTACCTAAGTTCCTTATCAGCAAAAAGAAAAACAAACAAACAACAAAGCAAGAAGGTGTGTTGTAACTGGAAGATACTTTAAACAGTGCATAACCAGAATAGCAGAGGGATATAAGGTCCAAAGCAACAGGAAATTGAAAGTATCAAGCAGTACACTGAGCCCCTCAGAAATTTCTAAACCAAGGTGAAGTAGGAGAGAAGGAGGGCTTGTAATGTATAAATCAAACAAGAAAAATGCATCTCTGGTTCACAGTGGTGGGGCTACACTCTACCAAAGCACTGTACTAATACAGGCCTTCTTAAGATTACCAGGAAAAATATGTCCAGTAAACATGAAGAGGAATTAATGCTGCTTATAAAAGCTCAGAGCAGGTCACTCCTCTGTTCTGAATACAATTCTGATTAATCTACAGCATCCCTAAAATCATGCTTCTCCTCCTTCCTAGCATTATTATATTCGATTACGTCTGTGCCAACACTATTTCTGATATTTAGCAATAGCCATGTTGATTTCACATTTTACAATAATCTTCTGATTCTCCTATTGACCCCTTCTGTGTAATATTCCTTGGTAACTAGTAAGAATATACAATATCATCAGGTATTGATTTACAGTGCTACTATATCCTATTCGACTTTACATGATTCTTGTTGTATTCCTTAGCGGCTTGCAACTACATGTTACTATAAAAAATAACAGAAGGCTAAATAATAAGATCAAGCGAAATTTGGGACTTGCACTAAAACTAATACATTTTTTTCAGCTAGGCTTTGATGCACTAAAAAGCCATTCCAAGCTTTCAGCACCCTCTACAGGCTAACTGCTTTGATGCAACTAAACACATAGCAAAATTTTTACTGTCATCTCATAATCACAACAGTACAGTTTAGTAATTAACAGTATTTTGAGAAAAAGAAAAAACAACAGGTAAGCTCATAATCTCAGGCAACAAGGAATTAATTTCACTAACAAAAAGGAAAACAAATATTCAGTGTTTATAGCAGCATTTTGCAGTGTTTCACACAACACCAAAGTTACTATTTTTATGCAACCATACAGGTTAAATTTTATACAAGTTCATGCATGTTATTACATTATCTACTTTCCATTAAGAAAAGGTTTCAAGCCATCCACCACTCAGATAGAACATTTAACTTACCATCCCTGTTGGACAGCAAACATACGAGGCCATTAAGGCATGTGTCAGTCACTTCAGTGATGTTAGTTGCACATCTGCCTATAGCCTGAATTGTAGCTGCAGCAAACTGTTTATCCTGGCTTTTCACGTAAGTCTAGAGAAATAGGGTTTTCGTTAGTCTATACACAAGTGTCATGGTTTTATATCAACAGGAAACTTATGATATATCCTCAAAAGAGAAACATACTATATAATAAATTCAATCTAGAAAGCTACTCTGCACATGAGGTTTTACTTGTTCATTTGTTCACTGTCACTTCCAAAAGACATTTTCTTGCCTGCTTTGGTCACTGATGGTCATGGGAACCTCTGATTTCAAGGAAGCTAGGGGCCAGGGGCAATTAGCCAAAAACAGCAATTAGTTTGCTTGCAAGGTTAGAGGAGTTGATGAGCTTTCTCTTCAGAGAAGTTTCAGTTCATTTAATCAGAAGCATCTGTGAAACTATGAGTTACCTACCTGCCTATGAATCAGTATATTTCAGAAATAACCAGCCAGAAAATGGAAGCAATGAAACTAGATGTCATATTGCAAAGAGTAAAGAAAGAAGAAGACACACAGTTTCACTTGTTTCACATGTGTTTCACATGCAGAACATCTTGCTGATACATACATACACATATACTGGAGGTAATACTATTTTATCAGGTGTCTCACAGAAATGAGGCTTGGCAATTAATGCAAATGACCAAATATTACTAAAATTAAGGCACTATTTTCTAGTGATTTAAAGAATCAGTCAAGTTTGTAGAATATATTTTTAAAAATTTTGAATGGATGAGCTCTTCTGAACTTTTTTACTTTTTTTGTTTTTGTTTTTGTTTTGTTTTTTGGAAGCTGTAAAGAGTGAAAAACAGCACACTGAAACTCCTTTGCAAACATAAAAGGTTCCATTATCCATTATGATACTAGACAGTTTAATTTCAATTTCAAGAATGCTTTATTCTGGAAATGACTTTAACTTGAAAATATTAAGACTTAGGCTCTATTTGAAACATCCAATAGTGGCAATTGGCCAACAGAAAACATTTATTTTCAAAAGAATACACTTTTGCACAAACCTGAAATTCTCGAAGCAGAGTTGATATGTTGGCTTCATTTGCTAAATTTGTCATGATTTCGAGCTAAGAGAAAAGAATATACATTAAAACCTAAAAAATTATATAAGCAGTAACACATGCATACAATACTTTTATTGCATATAAATACAAGATAATACTATTAAACACACTACTTAGATCTCAATAGAGTATGCCACTTTTCAGTATAAACCAATAGCAAGATTGCACTCAGGAGGAACATTCTCCTTCCAAGTACCTGCAAGGTTTTCAAATGACTCTTGGGTTCAGTGATGTATTTTCTAACTCTAGTTTTACAGTGTTGCATTGCATATTGAATAGCTCTGAAATACTTCTGGCAGTATCAATTCTTATCTTATACACAGGCTTTAGCTTATAAGAACTATGTAACACAGTAAGAAGAAATAATGAAAAGCACAATTGCAGCTATGGGGAAATAAATGCAGATGAACTGCTATAAAAGACTTTTAACTTGAGAAACAAACAGCTAACATTCGTGAGAATATTTAGATCTCAATTAACAGAATCAGACCCTGTTCCTGGTGAACAAGAGGATACACACTACCTGGCATACATCATTAAAACACTATACTCCCACTGTGTTCTAACTTTGAAGGCAGAATTCCAATAAAATTTGAATGAAGTAAACTGAAGAAAAAGAAATTGAAAGCCATATCTCACAAATTTGTTGGTATTTTTTGTTGGTACCATTTGTTGGTATTGCAGCTAGCATTAAAGAATTGAGATGGAGAGAAAGAAAAGAGCACAATTTCTTTCTCAAGCTCTTTTCTACTGCATTATCCGTTAAAAAAGAAACTACTAAATGTCAGTAAAACATCTCTTTGTGAAATCTGTATCTGTATCTGTACACAAATGCCTCTGACAAACTAAAATAAAATGAGGCACACAGCAGTAGAAAATACTTAACTATTGTTTTGTCAAGGACTTAAAATCTATTAAAGACCAAGAATACAGACAACAAGATTAAAACAGCCTACATACACACTAAGACGCGGCATTGAGGAAAGCCCAAAATACACAGGTCACTCCAAAAGCAATGCCTCTTATTTATTTCCATGGAAACTACAGCAGATACAAGGAGTACAATACCAAAGTTTGATAGAGCAAATTCTCAGCTACAAAACACTGTTTTTCAACACAGTCATCACTATTAGCTATGCATTTTCACCAGTGATGAACACGAGCCTGCATGCCATGCTCATAACAATTTGCACCAGCAGAGGTGACCCACTGTCACTGTCACCACTGCTGAAACACCACCCACAGCCTTTTTGCTCTGACACCCACTGTTTGGTCTCCACACACATTAAGCAAGTGTTCATGAATGTCAAATAAGACAGATCTCCTAGAAAGAGTCCAGTGGAGGACAACAAAGATGATTTGGAGCCTGGACTATCTCCCATATGAGGAAAGGCTGAGAGACTGGACTCTTCAGTGTGGAAAAGAGAAGTCTGAGAGGAAATCTCCTAACTAAACAACTAATAAATATCTAAACTGTGGGAATCAAGTCGGTGGGGTGGACTCTTTTCATTGGCAAGCAGCAATAGTATGAAGGGCAACAGACAGAAACCACAACACATGAACTTCCTTATAGATGCAAGGAAGAATTTCTTTATTGTGAGAGTGATGAAGCACTGGAACAGGCTGCCCAGAGAGGTGATATGGATATCTCTGGAGATATTCAAGACCTACCTAGATGCCTACCTGTGCAACTTACTGTAGGGAATCTGCTACCTACCTACCTACCTATACACCTACCATTTTGTGATTCTGTGATTCAGTGGATGCCATTATTTCTGCATGGAGGAATTCAATGACAAACCTTTGCTTCATATGTGCTTTCACGTCAGATGTCATTTTGTCAGACTGCCCCTCTGCTGCCGTCTGTCACACAGCAACATAATGCAATGGAATACTGGCGCGAACTACTGCTGTACCACCAGCATCTGCCTCTGATGTTGTGCACCAACAACACTGAACAGGATTACTTTCAGAGCAACTCTCATACTTATGTCGAAAGCTGACCTCAAAGGGAACTTGGTACTCAGGCATCATCCCATATTTGACTCCCATTTCTTTCAGTAAAACAGATTTAAACTCTTTTTAATCAAATAGTATCAATAACAGTGTGATTTCACTACTCTTTATATGAGATTTTTCATATTAAGAAAACAATCAAACTCTAAATATTTTAATGGCTACTTACGTTTAAAAAAAAAAAAAAAAAAAAGCAATGCTCTCTACTGAATTGTACCAAAAGATATGGTTGAAAACACAGTCTTCTTGCTGCCTATAATATGATAACAAAAGAATTTCCAAATAGCCTGACAACTCTAAAGGACATCTATGGACTTAAATAAAAGCAACAAATCTATACTTAGGGAAAAAAAATGAATAGCACAGTCTGTCACAGCAGCACATGAAAACTTTACTTTTCTGTTCCAAACAGTGATTTGTCCAGTAATATACAGGTGATTTTTATTTTAACTCACCTTCAGAGTTTTAATCATTGTTGGATCCGTTGATCTAACATAGAAACTCTTCAGATAAGGTTCAAACATGCCCTGGAAAATAGAACATATGTAAGTAGTTTGCCTGAGTTCAATATAATGTAATTTCAAAAATTCTAAATATGGTTTACCTTTCTCTGAATTGACATAGTGGCAATATTTTGCAGAACAATATACTGCACTTCCCTAGAATTGATCAGAGAAACAGACGTTATTCTGTAGAATTATATATTACTTGACACAAACATATAAAGAAGTTGGAAATTGTCAACTATTACGAGATGATTATTTGTTTCACATTCTGGCATCTCCAAACATAGCTCACATTTTGTTCACTATGACACAAGGATGAGAATGGCATAGGTGAGAATTGGAAAGATATGGACTACTATCTGTAGTGTACAAATTTCTGCGTTAGTTACAATGACAGCTAGTGCTTGAACAACCAGTAAGAATTAGGTTAGCATTTCTTTGTCTTGAAAGATTTCCTGTTAATTCTCAAAAAGGGCCTAGTTTGCCAGTCGCATGCAATACATGCTAACAAACTCACATTCCTATCAAAAAACAGCACTTCAAAATTATAGACTTTGTAGTCAACAGAATTATATAATATTCTAAACAAAAAGATAAAATGTTCTAGGACATTTTTTTATTTTTAATTTTAATTTTAATTTTAAATTTAATTTTAATCAAAATGTCCATTTACAACCCTCAGTGGAAGCAAACAAAAAGAAATCTGGATGACTGTCTGAAGACTTTAAACTACAATTTCTGTACCAATCATTTAAAGACCAAGTGAAAATTCATATGCATATTTTTTAAACTAGTGCTGAAATTCTTTTGTGATGCAAATATCAACCTAATAAAGAAATTATCCATTATCTCCTTTTATTCAAAAATGTGTAATAGCCCTGTAGTAATTACAGTTGTAGCTTACAAAGACAGGTAATAGTGAAGAAGTATACAACATATTTTAAACTTTATTTTATGTAATTCTTACATAGGTACTTGGAAACAGTCAGCTTCATGTGATATAAATGTGATTCATGTGACATAAAACGCTCTTCCAAGTATTTATATACCCTTCACAGAATCACAGAATGGCCTGGGTTAAAAAGGACCACAATGATCATCTAGTTTCAACCCCCCTGTTATGTGCAGGGTCACCAACCACCAGACCAGGCTGCCCAGAGCCACATCCAGCCTGGCTTTGAATGCCTCCAGGGATGGGACATCCACAACCTCCTAATATCTAATCTGTTTTCCAGTGCATCACCACCCTTTGAGTGAAAAACTTCCTCCTAATATCTAACCTAAACCTCCCCTGTCTTAGTTTAAAACCATTTCCCCTTGTCGTATCACTATCAACCTATGTGAACAGTCATTCCCCCTCCTGTTTATACACACCCTTCCACCCTTGCTAGATTATAACTCTATTTGGCATTAATTATTATTATTATCATCATCATACTGGACATTAATTTAAAGGCTACAGGCTAAGGACAATCAACAAAAGCTTATTTCAAGGTAGCTCCAATAGCAAAAGTGTTTCTCTCAGACTGGTGACAGAGAACAGCCAAGTCATTCAATATGATAATCAAAACACTAAAGCCATTTTAGGTGCTATTTGTAGAAAGCAGTGACTTCTCACCTGAGGAAATCTGAGTATAAATGAAGAGTAAACAACATGCAAAGGGAGAAGGAGGTGATTGTCCCTCTCTACTTGGCTCTTGTGAGGCCCCATCTGGAGTACTGCTTCCAGGTCTGGGGCCCCCAGCACAGGAAGGACGTGGAGCTCTTGGAGTGGGTCCAGAGGAGGGCCACTGAGATGATCAGAGGGCTGGAGCACCTCTCCTATGAGGAAAGGTTGAGGGAACTGGGCTTGTTTAGATGGGAGAAGGCTCTGGGGAGACCTAATTGTGACCTTCTAATATTTTAAAGGAGCATGTAAACAGGAGGGAGAATGGCTGTTTACGAGGTACATGGAACATGTAAAAATGGTACATGGAAGATGGTAAAGTCAAACTTCTAGTTATATTGAATGAAATATAAACTAGTTCTTTAAAAGTAGTCCAAGGTTTAAGAAAACATTGAGGATTCAACAGTACCAGACATTTTAATTTAACAAGTGTCTCTCAGTTTCTCTGTCAACAAGACAACAAAGTACAGTGAAGAAAAAAAAACCCATAAACTTTCTGAAGTCTGTTTTGAGTGCCAAAGCAAGACAGTAAAACAACACAATTACATTTCTAGTAACTTTCAGTAATTGGAAAGCAAAACAAAACAACACAAAAAACCTAAGCTAATTAGTTAGTACCATCTTTCTTCGAATGTTCATTAGGCAGCTATGATTCTTCTAAGAAAGACAGTCATAATTAAGAATGAAATACTTATGATAATGAATGATCACTGGAAGTAATACTGAAAATGATGGGATTACATATAAAGATTCTCACTCACAAAGTAAAAAATTAACATTTTACATAACAAAATAAAATACTAATAGCATAGGAGTTATATATTTACACATAAAGCTATGACTAAAGGAGTATGTACTAAAATTGTACATATCTAAAGCTCTCATAAAAAAGTACAGATGGCAATTTGACTTGACCTACCTATTACTACGGAGTAAACGCACTAATGATTTAGAAATAATACCAGCTTCGGATTTTGGTGCCAAATGCCAGTAAAGCTGTGCAACTGCCATTACCACCTAAAAAAAGAATGTTCAAAAACAGCATATTAACTCAAAATTTTGACTTGTACATACACATTACATTTGCTTCACACTTGCAGACCTACCAGGTATGCAAAGTTCATACCTACATTCTTTGAAATCAGCAAAGCAGACTGGGGGAGAAACATGGGGAGAAGGATATTTTTATTTCTGACAGTCAAAGCTACTAAGTACCTGTTATTCCTCCCAATATATATTAGATAATATAACACACTTTCTAGAGGAAGAGGGACAAAGAGTAAGAAATGCAACTAATTCAAATGTAATCATACCGATATCATTGTTAATAATCCCATACTGCTTACATTAGATCTAGTTAAGCTAAAGAGGAAATAATGTGGGTTTGTTTTGATGCAGTTTTAAAAAAAACTTCTGCAAATCTTGTGCTTTTATTTTTATTAAGTAAGGTCTAAGATTATTTATTCTTTAGCTTCTACAAAAAACTTCCATTTCATTATTCTATCATTAATTTATTAAATGGCAGTTGCTTTTACTACTGCTTTCTAAAATCCAATTGGAAGTATGAATTATAGCAACAGACCAAGTAGAAAAAAGTAGTGACATAACCAACTTAAAACAGGTAATATATGATTTTAAAGTTTTTTCCTAATACCTTACACCAATTAATAATTCATGTCATAACCTTCCCTACAATACTGTCAAGGTAAATTTTCTTAATCTAAACTAAACAAATCACAGAAAGGAAAGTCAAAATAAAAACTTATGATAGTTAACTTGATATATTGAGAAAAATTATTATTAATAAACAGTAAAAAATGATACAAATCTGAGAAGAGAAAATAAGTGAAACATTTTTAGCAGAGTGCTACAGTGCTACTTTATTACTGAGAATAATCTAAAGTCAAAGAGAAAACAATTTATTTAATTGCTGGTAAATTCTGTGAACATTAAAAAAATGATGTAATAGCAATTCAAACAATCAAGACTTCATTTGATAAATTGCATTTAAACACCTCAATTAACTTTAATATAGCAAACTTCAAGATCACAAATCCTAGAATCAATACTGTACTTAACAAATATGAAGAAAGTGATTTATGGACTATGGAAGATAAGCAGCTTTTATAGTGTGTGTACGAAAAGAAACGGAAACAAATCTCAATTCATTTTGATGACAAACATATCTAACACAGCTGTTCTTTGTATGAGATGAGGAAATATCACATGGATGTTAAATAGCAAAAGGTTTGGTCTAATATAATTGGTATTGTAAAACTGCATTCAATTTGTTTCCAGAGTTTGCTGACAGATTACAAGTGGTTTTGAAAAGTGTTAAGCATTACTTGGAGTCTAGAAATGTGATTCAGGGAAGAAAGAAAAACTCGATCACTTTAGTAGCTCAAGGTTAGGAAAGAACTTCATCACGGCACAAGATTTTTTTTTTTTTTTTTTTTTTGGTGATATCATTGGAAAAGTCTTCCAAAGCAATCTAGTCTTGAGTAATGAGACAAATTGAAGTCAGAAGTAAAGTTTAACATTACAATGTTTTGCCATCAACACATTTCCTTCTGGTCCTAAAAATTTACCGGGAAATTAAAACTTCTGGTATACAGAGGATTCTGTAATTGAGATGCCACATCTACCCTGGAATCCTGTCAAAATACCAACTCCTAAGAATATGGCTGGGCATTAGAGGAATTGAGACATGTAACTGTCTACTCAAAGGAAAGTATCACTAGATGAATCAGTAGCAACTACGATTTTCTTTGCGAATCTGTATCACCAAAACTTGAAATGAAATTTTCTCATATTTTCTCCAGTATTTTGCCTGTCATTGAAGTTGAGCATACACAACATTCTGTTATACTTAAAAGTTAAGCTAATTTCAAAGAAGAAAGAACAGCTATTATTTTCCTATAGTAGTTACTATGTAGTATTACACTGCTTGACTTAAAGAGGAGTAAATTTGAATTTTCAAACTTTCACGTTTTCTAGAACCATAGATATTTAGTATTTTAAGATTTTATCTAAAAAAAAGAATTTGTCATACAGCAGCATTTCGGCTTTGAAGCAAGGGCTTTGTATTTCGTAACAGCAGCCTGTGATCTGGGTCCATAGCGTAGTTCTTCTTAACTTTCTGATCCTTTTCTTTCTGTTCTTCATCAGATTCATAGAAATTGTTTTCATTATATTCTTCTTCAACATTTTCATCCTATCAAAAGATAAAATGTGAAAAATATGCATGGAATATTTGAATCAACAAATTATATTAATTGAAGAAGTAATATACAACACCACAATTCTATACAGGAGTTACATTAAAAAAAAAAAAAAAGAAAAGAAAGAAAATAGCTATAGACTCTTCTATTCCAGTTTGTTCAATGTGGTAAATGCAACAACATGAAAAATAGTTTAAAAATACACGCAAAATGTCCTTACCAGTAAGATGAAGCACAAAATGAAATGCTTTCATTAGTTTTCTATATTAAATTAGGTAATAATAGGAAGGTTTTTTGGACTGACAACCCATGACCTAAAATTAAAACTTCTGAAGAAGATAAGTTCTTTAAAATTTACTTTTTGAAAATTGTTACAGAAGTTCTATACATTCTTCCTTTTCTAGCAGTATACAAATTATCTACAAAAGCAGTAAATCTCAAAAGACAGGATAGTAATTAAGGAATTTCATGAGAAAAAAGGTTACATTTTTTTAACTCCCGTTTTCTCTGAAGTACAAATTCTTCAGCTGTTTAAGTTGTAAGCTATCAGCACGTCACTTAAAGCAACAAAAAAACCTACAAAGAATAAGCATTTATTAAACTTTGTGTTACCATTACATTTAAACTTTTTTTTTTAAGATAAAAAATAAGTGAAGAACAGATCTCATGTATTTCATTGTTTTACATTTAATTAATTAACACTAAAAATTCTATATAAACTCAAAGAACAGCAAGATGGATATCAAGATTAGATGAAACCAAAATGTCTGAACCAAGAAGATCTACAGTAAATTTACACAGTTTTGCACAGCAACTCTACATTGAGGGTACTCTGTCTCCTAATACACCAAGGAGACAATGTGGATGATTCTCAGACTTCCCTATCTCCCACCCAATAACTCTGTATTCAGTGGCCTACAACAAACTACATGCATAATATCAACTATGACATTGATCACTAAGTACAACTAAGTACTTTTTCACTACAAAAATGAATGCTATGTGGAAAGAGGAAATATTCTGGTTAAACAAATTCATCTTTAATGTTCACAGGTTTTAATGTAAAGTTGGCAAAGCACATTGAGATCTCCACTTTTTGTTTTTATTTACAGGATGTTGTTGTTGTGTTACAGGATTATGAAGAATAGTTCTTATTCTTGTACTGCAATAGCTTGAACTCTACTTGATCAAAGTTCAGGGCCTTAGAATCAATTGAAAACATCTTGGTTCTTGATTTGTATTTTGTTTTGTTCTATTTGTCCTGGTTTTAGCTGGGACAGTTATTTTCTGCACAGCGTCTGGTAGGATGCTCAGTTTTGAGAAAAACAACGTTGATAACACACCAATGTTTTAGCTGTTACTCAGCAGTGGTGCACAGAGCCAAGGACATTTCAGTTTTACAGCTTTTCTTACTGTCCTGCCAGTGAGGGGGCTGGGGACCACAAGGAGATGGGAGGAGACAGAACCAGGGCAGCTGACCTACACTGACCAAAGGGATATTTCTTACTATATGACACTATGTGAGAAATCTATAAAATTGAAAATGAGGGAAGTTGGGCAGGGGGAGCAGATGCTGCTTCGGTACTGGCTCAGCTCTAATCAGTGGATGGTGAGCAATTATGTTGTACATCACTTGTTTTGTAAACATGCATTACATTATTATCATTTCTATGATCATTTTTTCTCTTCCTTTTCTGTCTCAGTAAATAGTTCACATTTCAACCTGTAAGTTCTACCTTGTTGATTTTTTGCCCAATTCTCTCCCAGATCCCACTGGGAGTGGGGAGTGAGCGAAGGACTGGGAGACGCAAAGCTCCTGGGTCAAACTATAACATTGTTATTGTTTGTTTAGGATATTAAAATGGTTTTAATATAACCCACAGCATTACATACGGAGCCACTGAGAAGACAAAAGCAGATCCTCTCAGAGAATTGCAACAAAGGAGATTTCAGTTAGATACAAAATGAAAGAGTTCATAATTGAAACAGAGAGATTACCACTGCCCACATAAGAAATTGTGGAATCTCTGTTCTTGAATGAATCTCCTTCAAATGAAAAGGCTCTGGTTAATGTAGTCTATACAGGAGGAGGCCTTACTTGTGCAGTGATCTTATATAGCAAGACCTCTATAGTTTTCTTCCAATCCATTATATGACTACAATAGGACAGTCAATTTCTAGTGGCAGGTTGTTGGAGGAAGGAAGAACGGATAGCAATGGTTGGTTTTATGGATGAGCTTGATAGAAAACATTCTTCTGAAATGTAATTTCAACTAGAACAGTTGTTACCACTGAATAGTTGTAGTACAACTGAATTGAAAGCCATGACAGCAACTTACCCACGAGAGCATCAGAAAACTAGCAAAAAAGGCAGAATTCTCATCTCTAACATTACACATACTATGAGGAATAGAAGAGGTTCAGAGCACGCCCAAATAACTAAAGGGTTACAAAAATACTAACAAAGCTAATACAATAATATGCTGCAATACAGGTGATCAATTCTATGAAAAAATCCTTCTTAGAATAGACATCACAATATTCAACACTATGAAACTTTTCGTAACTTTTCACAGCTAGAGGCTGCTGAAACCATTTAGATTTATGTGCGTCTTCATTCCCCTAAATTTTTTATCACTCTTTGTCACCAGAATAGCAAGCTAAAAGAGCTAGCATCACTGTGGCTAGTTACTTATTTATAATAGAACAAGCTAGCTTATATCAGAATCATTAAATCATAGAATAATAGAATGGTTTGGGTTGGAAGGGACCTTAACAAATGTCCAATTCACAATCCCCCTGCCACAGACAGGGTTGCCACCCACCAGATCAGGTTGCTCACAGCCCCATCCAACCTGGCCTTGGACACTTCTGGGAGTAGGGAATCTGGGCGGCCTGTTCCATCACCTCATCACTGTCTGAGTAAAGAGTTTCTTCCTAAAAACTAACCTAAAACTCTCCTTTTTAAGGTTAAAAATCATTCTTCCTTGTCCTATCACTATCAGACCATGTGAAAAAACAATCTTGATCTCTCTCCTGCTTATAAGCTCCCTTTTAAGTACTGGAAGGTTACAGTGAGGTTTCTTCAGAGCCTTCTTTTCAGGCTGAACAAGCCAAACTACATGAGCCCATACTTGAAAGGAGAGGTGCTCAGCCTTTGGATCACCTTCGTGACTCTGCTTTGGACATAGTCCAACAGCTCTATGTTCTTCTTGTCCTGGAGATCCCAGATCTGGACACAGTACTCCAGATGGGCCTCACAAAGGCAGAGTACAAGGGGACAATCACCTCCCTCTCTCTGCTGCCCATCCCTCTTCAAGGAGCCTGGGATACTGTTGGACTTCTGGGCTACAAGTGCACACTTCTGGCTCATGGCAAGCTTTTCAGTCAGCAGAGCCCAACTATAATTGTTCTGCCCTGCTTTCTCTCACGTCTTTATCAAAGCCTATTTAAAGCATGTGTGTCCAGCCTTTTAGCATGCCCAGGCCACACTTACTGAAGATCAGTTGTCTTGGGCCAATGTTTTGGTTGTTACTGAGCAATGGATGCATGCCTGGGGCTGGTCTGCTAGAAGGGGCAGAGCTGCTGCCACAGTGGCATGGGGAAGGGGGTGGGTCCTGGGCCAAATGCAGCCTGTGTGGAGACACCTGATATAGTATTATCCAACCATACACAGTTATCAAACTCCAGTTGTTTTCTGAGGATTATTTAAGTCACGTATCCAATTGCTCATTTTTAAAAAACAATTACTTTTGAGACAAATCCTTTAAATTCTTGTTAGAGGTCAAAGAAAAATCAAAAGTGAGTAGAGGAATTGCTAGAAATGAAGGTAAAATCTTACTTATTATCTCTTCAGCAAACTAAGCTAGGATAACTTTGAAACTTGTCTTTATGCATTCATCAAGACCTAGGTAGTGAAAAACTCTATAAAAATGGGTGTGGAAAAGAGAAAACTTGTAATTTTCATTTCATTTTATTAAAATTTGAAAGAACACTGAAAATAAATTGTCCTTTACATTTCATGTCACTTTAATAGGTAACATCAACAGTGCCCTCCCTGTTTTGCAGAAGACTTAGCAAGCATTTAGCTGCTAGATTTCTTATGCAAAAGCATCTGAGGTGATTCAGTTCGTTTATTTCTCTGCCTATACATCTCTGTGATAGACATCCTTCTAAACTAAAAGTTCAAGATGCTTAATCAATAGTACTGGTGACTGAATTCCTCCCCTTCTCTACAGGACAAAGCAGCTTCAAAGCAGAATTCCTGATCTCAATGCATCTCACCATAGTGAAGAAACCAAGCTTCCTTTAACTGAAGGATAATCCAGTCTTCATTGATTCAGCCATCAGTATCCCTACCTTTCCTGCTAACAGGCACACACATCAGTGCTATTGAGCTCAACAGTAATATGTAGTTGGAATGAGTATTTAACTCATTAATCACTGCTATAAAGAGAGAGCTTGAGCTCTTACATTTCCAATTTTTGAAAATTATTTGTAAATAATTTTGTTGATTAGAAAGAGTACCTTTTATGAAAACATTTTTAATAAAAATACCTTCAGAATGTTTATATTTTATCGCTTTTTTCATATCCTCACAGGAGTATTAATATGGTCTTTTCTCATAGTTACTATTTACTGCCACCTCAGAATTCCTATTTTTTCAAATTTGTTGAAATATGAAGTAATTATGTTCCAGACAGAAGACGATGATGCCACATAGGGAAATAAGTTTAATGAAGTGTAATTCATTAACATAAAGTTGAAGTCTAAATTAGTTAGAATTTGTAATCACATAAGGACCTTATTAAAACAAAGAGAATAATACTGCAAGATTTTCACATTACCATGAAAATGAAAAAAAAGCATTACATAAAGGAGCCATGAGACTGAAAGACAGACACCTGAAGGCTTCTTGTGTGTAAGAACTGCTGTTTCAAATTCTATTAATTATCCCAGACATGGACAGCTCTTACATGCATACATGAAAACA